GTTGCTTATGAATGATAAAAGTATCTGTTTTCGTATTTGTTCCCCTTGACTACCTGTAATCTCTCCAGGGCTAGGAGAGGCCCAGCCTTTGTCATTTGATGAAAATTTGTGAACTTAAACTGATGTCATCCAAGGTTCTGATCCCAGATTATCTGACCCAAAGACCCTTCAAGCCAAGAGCATTTGAAGCAGTGGGCGTGCTAGCTACCTAGCTTTGATCATTCCACACTGCATGCATCTATCACAGTGCTTGATGGTACCCTGTAGGTGCCATTATTATTATTTGTCCCTTCAACATTTACATTTTTAAAATAGCCAGGCATTGGTGGCTCACACCTGTAATCCTTGCCATTGATGATAACGATTCAAACTAGCTTGGGCAGGAAAATCCAGGAGATGCTATCTCCACTGAACCAGCAAAAAAAAAAGCCAGAAGTGGAGCTGTGGCTCAAGTGGTAGAGCACCAGCCTTGAAAGATAAAGCTAATGGACGGCACCCGGGCCCTGAGTTCAAGCCCTAGTACTGGCACTAAACAAACAAAACTCACCGCATAAGGTTTGGGAAGAATTAGATAATACATAAAAAAAGAGCTTTGGTAAATGTTAATATTTTATACAGACTCAGGCTGCTGATTAGTCTTAGATAATAACTCTGGGCTGGGCGCTGTCCCTCAGCTCTTCAGCTCAAGGTGAGCGCTCTACCACTTGAACCGCAGCACCACTTCTGGCCATTTATTGAAGATGAATCTCATGGAGTTTCCTGCCCAGGCTGGCTTTGAACTGTGATCCTCAGATCTCAGCCTCCTGAGTTGCTAGGATGTCAGGCGGGAGACATTAAAGCCTGGAATTACCACTGTTTTTGTTGAAAGGCGGTGTGTATACTAACAGTTCTAATGTCCTAAAGTTGGAAATTCTTAATGCATTTTAAGGTTAAAATAAAACTTAAAACACACACACTTGCCCTGGCAGGCTAGAACCCTAGTTTTGTAAAGTTCTTTTCAAGTGCCGAGTCCTAGGGGCTAACTTAGATATCATCCTTCAGACGTATGAGGTATGGATTAAGGTGTTGTTGTTTAAATGTGTTATTTGGGCAGCTAGAAACCTGAGGAATGTTTTCATACGCTTGTCAAATCTGGCTGATCTTCCCATCAGCAGAATGTGGGTTCATGTGTATGCAAAAGTCATCGACTTAAACAAAACACCCCCGAAGTCCATGACATCAACTCGACCTGGCCTTTGGGTTGAGAACTTGTTTGGCCTGTGGATGCAGAGCTTAGAGTCTCTGATCCACCGGATTCCCCTGGCCTCTCTGAAAGAGCCTCTCTATGAAGGCCTTGACAGGTACAGGAAGCCAGGTGTGTCTGGAACTCAGAAGCAGCAGCTGCGGGCGCTGTATCTCAGCGTTTGCATTTTTATTGTTTCCCCCTCAGGAGGATGGTATGGAACCCCTGAAGCCCGGGAGCCAGCCTCCAGCCAGGTTTGCGGGGTGAGCTGTGCGGGGAAAGCCTGTGCAGGTGCGGCTGGCTTGCCTTTGGGTGACGCTCACATTTCTAATTCCCGTGTGCTCCTGCAGGGACGGTTTCCCAGAGCCCACCGAGGACACGCGGACTCCCAGGGGTGAGTGGGTTGGGATGGGCAGAAGCTGGTGAGGCTGACAGCCCTGCACCTGCGCTCCAGGGCTGAGATGCACCTGCGCTCCGGGGCTGACATGCACCTGCTCTCCGGGGCTTCCAAATAGAGCAGCAGCCAAGTCCCTCCCCACCCGCCCACTCTCCCTCTCTGGGGCAAACTTTACATGCACTTCCTCCTGCCGGTAGAGTGCCCGGAAGACGGTTTGCCTATGGCTTGCAGCCACGCTGACGGCCAATCAGCCTGTGAGAAAGAGGAGGAAAACAAATCAGAGGCCACCGCCATGGGTAAGGGCCCAGGGGCCGAGTGGGGCCAGGCCAGGGCGCCCAGCCGGGAAAGCTGGAGACGCAACTGCCCTCGACCCGCAGCCGGACACTTGACATGCTTCTTGATTTTAAGAAATAATTCCTATGAAGGAATTATAATATATAAATATATTATAAATGTATAAATATATAAATGTACGAACAATTCGTACATTTATTATATTGATATTATTCATTATATTAATATCATTTATTATATTAATATCAATATACAGAAATATTAGATATCATAAATATATTCCATTGCATACATAGTATAAAAGAGATATGCTATGCAGCATATAAATATGGTATATATTATAAAATATTCTCCATAAAAGATTAGTATACGTGATATAGTATTAATGCATTATTATAATTGTTTATTATCATGAATAATTATTAATATAATTACATTATGTATTATATTAATTATATATTACAATCCATATATTATACAATATATTAATATATCATACTTATATTATTTTATACATTATATAATGCTATAATTATGATATGATATTATAATTATCACTATTAATTACCTTAATTAGTATTAATCATTAACTGGTGGTTACTATTCTACTAATTATATTAATACAATGACAATTATTTCTATTATATGCATTGATATATTAATTAGTATTAGACAATGTTAGTCTATTATTTGTATGCAATCTGTATTGTATGCAAATATGATATAACTATTAATGCATTATTATAGTTATATTTGTTATTAACATATTAATGTTATATTTTATAATGAAATCGTATGATATACAATATGAATTGCATTCTGTTAGTTAGGATATGAAGGGGGAAATTATGTAGCTCAGAATGAAGGAAGGGAGGCTGGAGGGAAGTGAAGGGGGGAGGGGGAGGAAGGAGGAGGAGGGGGAGGGGGGAGGAAGGGAGGGCCGGCATCACAGTGGCCGTCGAGCCTGGGCGTTTGAACCCTGCGGAGCCGAGGCCTGGGGTAAGGTGGCCTGCAGCGCCTGCCGGCCGCACAGCCTGTGTGTCAGCCCCGCGCTGGGAAGGCACTGAGTGGCCCACCTCCCTCCTCCCTTCCTGGGGATTTGATCGCAGGGACAGCAGTAAGGGGGTCAGCCGGGAAGGCAGCAGGCCCGCTCTAAGAGATGAAGGCGTTGGCCTTCACCTTGGCTGGCAGAGCCCGCCATGCGTGGCTTGTGTGGGGAGCTCTGCGGAGCTCGGGGGGGGGCTTTCCTGCTCCCTCGGGTTCTGAGTTCGAGGTCAAGCGCGCAAGCTCCAGGCTGACCTCCGTGGCTGCTGCCCTTCTGCCTTCTCTACCCTTTGCTTCCTCGTGGGCCCCTCGTTTATCTTGTCCGCTTTTCGGGTAGGCACCAGCCCTTCTGAGGAGGCCGACCAGGAGGCAGCGGGAGAGACCAAAACAGTGCCACCGCTGGTAAGGAAGGGAGCAGCCCAGCATCCACGCGAGGCCGGAGACACGGCCCACGGCCCGGCCCGGCTCCCTGGCCCTTGTTTTTCCTTTATGTTTATTTTACTCTAACAGTCTATTCCTTATTTTTATATATATCTCAGCTGCTTTTATTTCACTTCCACTTCTTTTGAATGTATTTATGGATCGTTACTGGTTGGTAGTGGGGCTTGAACACAGATCCTTTCACTCAAGGCTGGTGCTCTACCACATTGGGCCACAGCGCCACTGCTGGTTTTCTGGTGGCTCATGGCAGATCAGAGTCTCACAGACTTTCCTGCCCAGGCTGGCTTTGAACCACGATCCTCAGATCTCAGCCTCCTGAGTAGCTGGGATGACAGGCGGGAGCCACCGGCGCCCGGCCTAAATTATTATGTCCGAAGCCCCTGTTTCAATTGCATTAAACAAATCAGGCATCAATAACTCTGCCAAGGAAAAAGTTCTTGCTGACTTTTAAAAATAAAAATTACCATTAGTTTTTAAAAGTTTCCCATTCATTGAAGAAAGTGTAATACTATTGTACGATGAGGCCTTCCCTTTGGCTTTTCTTTTCTGGTTTACAGTACAACCCTCCGGTTATTGTAACCTTTCTGTATATAAATAAACATATTAGCCAGGTGCCATAAGACTCTTATGTCTAAGTAACCACCAAAAAGCCAGAGGTGGAGCTGTGGCTCAAGTGGTAGAGCATTAACTACCCCTGAGCAAAAAAAAAAAGAAAAACGAGACTCAGAGACAGCACCCAGATCCTGAGTTCAAGTCCAGGACTGCCCCATATACACACAACAAATTTATTATATGATAGCTGATCATCAATCTTAAAGTAGATCCATAGGTCGGGGCGGGCAGGTGGCTCAGTGGTAGAGCGCTTGCCTTGCATGCATGCGGCCCTGGGTTCGATTCCTCAGCACCACATACACAGAAAAAGCTGGAAGTGGTGCTGTGGCTCAAGTGGTAGAGCGCTTGCCTTGAGCTGAAGAGCTGAGGGACAGCGCCCAGACCCAGAGTTCAGGCCCCACAACCGACACAAAAATAACATGAAATAAAATAGGATTCATATGTCTGGGTGCTATATGTTATACGTGACATCCTAGTGACTTGAGAGGCTGAGAATAGGAGGTTTAAGGTTCCAGGCCAGCCTGGACAAAAAAGTTTGCAAGATCCTTTCTATCAGGGAACGAGATTGAGAGGAACGCGATTACGGGGCGGTTGGGACAGAAAAAAAAAAAATTCAGACATTATTTACCCAGTAGAAGCAAGGCTGGGTGTAGTTCTGCGGGGTTAGACAGGCCTAACAAGTATGGTTCCCCCCCCCCCCCAACCCCTTTGATCCTGATGACAGTTCTGGAAATCCCGTAGGGTGCTTTTGACAAAGTAGAGTCCGAAGGGGACAGGAAGTTTGAGGGATGCTTGCCGAGGAAGGCTTTCTACTCTGGACAGAAACACGTATCCCTTGTGCTTTTAGGACATCCCAGAGGAGCCCCCAATAGTAGAAGCGTGTGGCAAAGGAGGTGCTGCAGGAGGTAAGCAACGTGCCCGAGGTGAACTTACACACCGCTCAGCACCCTCTGCCACCGTTCCGAAAACCTGCATGGCCGTGATCTTGACTGATCCCCAGTCCCTGAGGAGCAGCAGCTGGGTTCTCTTGTAAACCCCAAACCAAGTCAAGGTGCTCAGAAAGGCTCCACTGTTCTCTGGTCCCGTCTGCGGTATAGACCACGGAAAAGTCAATGCGCCCACATCTGCAAAGCAGGAGTGGCTGTTCCTTCCTAGTTAAGATGAAGCGGCGCATGCACGGACGCTTAGGAGACCCAGGCCTGCCAGGCTGGAGCAATTTCTGATTAATTCTCTTCAAAATGGACTTGGGGGGGGGAGGAGGAAGGAAGGGATAGTGGGAGGAAATGAGGGAGAGGATGGCAATATTCGACCAGAAATGTTCTCAAAGGACAGAAGGAAAGTTACTGCTAACGCCGGGCCTGGTGCCTCATGCTGGATCAGCTACCCAGGAGGCTGCGCTGTGAAGATCACAGTTTGAAATCAGCCCGGAAGTGGAGCTGTGGCTCAAGTGGTTGAGCAAAAGCAGCTCAGGGACAGCGCCCAGGCCCAGAGTTCAAGCCTCAGGACTGGCAAAAAGAAAAAAGGGTCACTTCCGTTTATGTATTTTAGGCGCTGGTTCTGGGGCTTGAACTCAGGGCCTGGGCGCTGTCCCTGAGCTCTTTCGCTCCAGGCTGGCGCTCTACCGCTTTGAACCACAGCTCCACCTGGGGTTTTCTGGGGGCTCATTGGAGATGCGTGGCTCACGGACTTTCCTGCCCAGGATCCTCGGGTCTCAGCCTCTTGAGTGGCTGGGATTACAGGCGTGAGCCACCGGTGCCCCGTCAGTGAAAAATTTTAACCTCATAATCTTTTCTCGTCTTCGCAGACACCGACATTTCCTCTGCTCCCGTGACCGCCGTGAAATCGGTTAACTTCAGGCCAAGTGACAAGTAAGTGCTTTCCCCGGGCTGTCTTTTAAGCGGGCTTTTCCGCTCCTTTGGAACTCAGTGTGACTACCATCTTTGTGTCCTCTTCCAGCACGTCTGCCAACGAGAAGGAGGTGGAGGTGAGTCCAGAGGTAATGCTTTTCCTTCTCTTCAGAGGATCCTCGTTTGGTAGAACTGGGGCTTGAACCCCAGGCATTAGATTAGGCAGGTGCTCTTACCCCCTCTCCATTATTATTATTATTATTATTTGCACTGGTTATTTTGCAATAAGGCCTTCCTTCCGGTCAGAGCTGCCAGAATCACGCTCCTCCTATTTCCTGAAGAGCGAGGGTGGCAGGCCTGCGCCACCAGCCCTGACTTCTTCTGTTGAGATGGAGTCTCTTGGACTTTTCCTGGCCGGCTGGTGTGGAACCGTAATCCCCCCGATCTCCGCCAGCCACACGTAGCAGAGTTAGGTTGGCGTCTCAGACCCAGTCCCCCCGCGGTCGGTGCGTCCTGACACCGATGCGGGGGCTTGGCTTGGCTGTTGTAAATTCAGGTGATCGAATCCTCCCGTCTCACTAGGCAGAGTTCCTCCGCCTGTCCCTGGGGTTTAAGTGCGACTGGTTTACCCTGGAGAAGAGGAAGAAGCTGGAGGAGCGCTCGAGGGACCTGGCCGAGGAGAATCTGAGGGAGGAGATCACGCACTGCCTGAAGCTGGTCGAGGTGGGAATCTGCACATGGTTTCCCCGGAAGATTCTGGAAACTCTGAGACCCACACCAAGTCCAGAGTGCTGCCTCCCCTGTCCTGTGAATTGCTTAGAAAACACAAAAGCAAGATCAGATGAAGAGCGCACCGACCCAGACAGCACCCATAAGGAGATGGAAATGTGTTTGAGCTGCGGGGCGCCGGCGCTCACGCCTGGCATCCCAGCTACTCAGGAGGCTGAGATCGGAGGATCGCGGTTCAAAGCCAGCCCGGGCAGGAAAGACCGTGAGACTCTTATCTCTGATGAACCAGGAAACCGGAAGTGGCGCTGTGGCTCAAGGGGTAGAGCGCCAGCCTTGAGCGATAGAGCTGAGGGACAGCGCCCAGGCCCCGAGTTCAAGTCCCCTGACCAACCAAAAAAGGAAAAAAGTTCTTTAGGACTAAGGTGTATGTCTCGAGGGGATAGAGCCTTTGTCCATCAGGTGTGAAGTCCTGAGCTCAACTCAAGTGTGAGCAGCAGGTACCTGACTTCTTTATTTTTTTAAATCTAATTTAATTTTTTGTTGGTCGTGGGGCTTGAACTCTGGGCCTGGGCGCTGTCCCTCAGCTCTTCAGCTCAAGGCTGGCGCTCTACCACTTGAGCCACAGCGCCACTTCTGGCTTTTTCTGCTTATGGGGTGCTGAGGAATCGAACCCAGGGCCTCATGCATGCGAGGTGAGCGCTCTACCACGGAGCCGCCTGCCCAGCCACCCTCTTAACAACTCCTGATCTTTTCTGCTTGTTTTCAAGGTGGCCAGGTCCCTGGGCGTGGTCCTGGCTGGGGGCGGGGCCAGGTCCCTGGGCGTGGTCCTGGCTGGGGGCGGGGCCAGGCCCCTGGGCGTGGTCCTGGCTGGGGGCGGGGCCAGGCCCCTGGGCGTGGTCCTGGCTGGGGGCGGGGCCAGGCCCCTGGGCGTGGTCCTGGCTGGGGGCGGGGCCAGGCCCCTGGGCGTGGTCCTGGCTGGGGGCGGGGCCAGGCCCCTGGGCGTGGTCCTGGCTGGGGGCGGGGCCAGGCCCCTGGGCGTGGTCCTGGCTGGGGGCGGGGGTGGCACTGGGCCTGTGCGTGCGGCTTCACCCTCTGTTTTCTGTGCAGTCTCTGATGCCGCTGTGCGAGGACGACCAGCAGGCCCAGGACATCATCCGGAAGCTGGGGAAGAGCGTCTCCCTCCTCAGCCAGTGCTGCACCCGGGCGGCCAGCCGGGCCGAGACGCTGGGAGCCCTCCATCAGGTGAGCTGCCAGCCCTCCCGCCCCAGTGCGCCGCCCACAGGGCGCGCTGCCTGTCTGGGAGCCGTGGGTGATGGGGGGCCGTGCAGGGCGCTCTCCCATCCACTCCCTGTCTGCTGGGGGTGGGCTCGGGGCTGGGCTTTGAACTCAGGGCCTGAGCTTCGCCTCTGAGCCTCTTTGTCCCCCAGGCCGGTGCTCTACCACCGAGCCACGGCCCCACGCCGGCTTTTCAGGAGTAGTTCATTAGGAGTGAGAGTCTCATGGGCTGGCTTCGAACTGCAGATCCCAGCCTCCCGAGTAGCTAGGATTGTAAGTGTGAGCCGCCAGCACCCGGCATGTGGTGCCTTTTTATTTCTCTGTATAGCACGGACAACTTTCCATGGGATGAAGATACACACACATATATGTAACACGCATGTTTGTACATGCACATATATATGTGTGTGTGTGTACATATATGTATTGTGCCTATATCTGTATACATATATGCATATACGTACATATGCATGTGTATCTACATATATACACATTTATTTATATCCACACATATGTGTACATGCATATGTGTACATGCATGTGCATGTGTGTATATGTGTGCACATATATGTATATATGTCTATATCTGTATACATATCTGTATAATACATGCATATGCATGTATATGTATATCTACACATATACACATTTATTTATACACATGCATGTACATGCACATGTGTATATGCATGTGCATGTGTGTATGTGTATACATGTATGTGTATGTGTCTATACCTGTATACATATCTGTGTGTACATGCATATGCATGTGTATGTATATCTACATGCGTGCACATGTTTATTTATATGTATACATGTCTCCATTACGTGGCATTCTATAGGTTAGATATCTAGGAAGCATCTAACCAATTTTTTACGTATCTGATCACCTCAGACATCCTGGATGTCCTGCGGAAGGAGACAAGGCCCCCATAAATTCCCTTGTACATGCACCATTGTGCCCTGATCCGTCTGGAGGTTAAGATTCCCGAACTTCTGTCTGGAAAAATCTGAGGAGAGTTAACTTGTCAACATCCAGGCCAAACAGACTGAGTGAAAAGCACTTCCTTAAGAAGGAAGCCGCTGAGACGTGGCGGTCGGCTTAGCCCCAGCCTTTCTGGTACACTCTTGTGTGCTGGTCCCTGTCTGGCCCTCCGTGAAGCCTTTCTTCACTGTTTGGTAGTGAAGTTGCGTGCACCAGCGCTTGTTTGTTTTTAAGTTCTAGACTACGTCCCTTCCATTCTTCTCTGTTTTATGTTTTATATTTGTCTGTTTGCTATTTGCTACGTAACACGCTCACGCTGGATTTCAGTGATTCGCCTTCTCCGGCCTTTAGCCGTCCTTCCGGTCCTTTCCCAGCCACGCACGCCTCGTCCTCCGGGTCCCGACCAAGGCTCGGGCTCCCCAGCGACATTCCGGTCTTCAATCTGGTCCTCTGCCCGGCTGCGTTCCTCTCATTGGCCAGATCACGGGCTGTGTTAAGTCACCTTCTCGGCTCGCCCGTGCTGCGGCTTGCAAGTGGGTCATCCAGCGTGGATGGACCGGCCGGGGGGGGGGGGGGGGCATTCGTTGCTTCTTCTCTTGTGAATAGTGTGAGTTCCCGCCTGTCTCGCACGCTGGTCCGTCCGTCTCCTCGGTAACAGTCCAGCCTCTGGCGTCTTCTCAGGAGTGTGAGCCCACATGCTCCAGTTTGGCCCTGATTTCTCAGTGGAGGCCACACAATGCAACATGGCCCCGGCTGGGAGTCGTGTCTGCGTGTTGTCTGGGGAACAGGTTCTTGCTCACTCTGAGCTTGACTCAAGAGGGACTCTTCCACCTAGAACATTCCGTACAGAGTACTCCATCCTGGCCTTCCATCGGCTTCCAAACCCTGCGGGGTCCGGGGGCCGGAAGGCAGAGCGGGCTGCGCCACAGATGCCCCCACCTTCTGGAATCTGTTTCCAGGGCGCTAACTCTCACCCCCTCTATTTATTCTGTTCTGGCCCTCAGTGGATAACCAAAATGGCAGCGAGACTCAGCTGGCTGCAGTAAGAGGGGATCTTGGGCTCTCGTTGTTTCTAGATTTTCTCCCTGTCACGTATTCACCTTCAGACGTGTGTCTGTGTGTCTGTCTGTGTGTGTGTTGGTGCTGGAGCCTGAACTCTAGGCCTCAAGACTCCCTTGGTGTTTTCACTTCGGCTGGAGCTCTCCCACGTCTGCCGTCTGTCCGTCTGTCCACGCTGAGCCTTTCGCGTTAGCTGGTTGAAGGAGTCTTTCTTTCCACTGTGTCCGCCCAGCCTGGCTTCCGTGTGTGATCCTCAGATCTCAGCCTCCGAAGTACAGGTTGTCCCGCATCCTCAAGCAGCTGGGATTTTTTTTCTCTAGATAGCTGTTTCTTGACTTTTCTGATTCTGAAGGTTTCTGTTTTCTGAGTTTTAATGATCTCCCATTTCGTTCTTGAACTATCTAGCGTGGCAAAGCCACGCTAGTGGACCGTTTCTGCTCTGTTTTGCCTTGTCCCCTCAAACACCTTGATGGCCATTTTCGTTGGATTTAGAGATGGAGTGGAGGTCATCCCTATTACTGAGCTAAGTATGGAGAGTGGTATTTCCAATAGCAATTTGATTTCATTTCTCCTCGTAGGAAAGCCGGGTGAGCAAAGCTGTGGAAGTAATGATTCAGCATGTAGAAAACCTGAAGAGAATGTATGCTAAGGAGCATGCTGAGCTAGAAGAGCTGAGACGGGTTCTTCTGCAGAACGAAAGGTCCTTTAACCCTCTGGAAGGCGATGGTAATAGAGCTTTAACGTAGTAGATTGCCTAGTATTCAGAGAGTCATATTTAAACTTAACATGATGTTATTGCTTTCATAATATTCTCCCTTTTTTCAGGCTCTCTGACTGTCTTATTGTCTTAGAATAAAACTCCTTAAGTTAAAATTTCATTAGGAAAATAGAGCTGGACACCAGTAGCGCACGCTTGTAACCCCAGCTGCTCAGGAGGCTGAGATCTGATCATTACAGTTCAAAGTTAGCCAATTGCCTATATCCAAAAGATTACAAGACTCCAGGAGAGACAATTGCACAACCATGTTCATTGCTGCACTATTCGCCATAGCTAAGCTATGGAAACAGCTCAGACGCCCTACCATAGATGAGTGGATCGAGAACATGTAATACATAGACATAAAGATATCCTATACACACATGTATGTCTAATAAGTGCACATATTAGATATAATGGAAGTTTGTTCACCCACCATATTTGCAGATAAGTGGATGAACCTAGGAAAACGTATTTTAATGAAGTAATCCAGGCTCAGAGACAAAAAGGACTCGAGTTTTCTGTCACATGTGGAAAGTCTATCTAAATGACAAGTATATGTGTAGACACACACAGGGTCATACGCATGTACGCATAAACAAACGGACCCCCGAGAATAGGCTGGGAGGGGGGGATTCCAACGGTGGAGGCGATTTGCACTTTATCAACATGAATGCCAGAAAGCTGGAAGATGTGTGGTAGAGACAGCAGGTCGATGTGCGGAGAGAGGAGGTGTGGGTGGTTAGTCATGGGATTTGAAGTCTGGGTGAGCATGCAGCCAGATAACGTTAGGGAAGGGGGGAGGGAGGGAGGGATGGGAAGATGGATGACATGAATCAACAGGCACAGGCACCCTGAATTGCAACCCCTTCCTTCATACCGCGCCTTAAGGGTAACGATAACAATGATCATAATGACGGAGCAATTAATCACGAACAAGCTTGACTGGAGGCGTGGTTCAAGTGGTAGAGCACCAGCCATTGGCAAGAAAGCTGAGGGGGCCTGAGGCCCTGAGTTCAAATCCAAGGAACACACACACATACACACACCAACTGTTAGAGAAAATAACAGGTTCCTGTTTATTAGATAGCTCCAAGTATAACTCCAGAGAACAGATCACAAGACCTGAAGGACTCTTTGAAGGTGGCTCTGGGAATTCACTGTCAATTTTGCGTGGTGGCGCTCTACCACTTGAATCACACCTCCAGCCTGACTTTTTGCTGACTGATTGGAGAGGAGTCTCATGGAGTTTTCTGCCCTCGCTGTCTTCGAAACACATTGCTCCAGGTCTTGCTCTCCATTTGCTGAGTTGCTGGGATTACAGCTGGTGGCCCAGTGTATGGTTTTGTTCTGTTTGGGTTGTTGTTTTGTTTTTTTGTCTGTTGAGGGGCCTGAACTCAGGGCCTGGGTGCTGTCCCTCAGCTCTTCAGCTCAAGGCGAGCGCTCTACCACTTGAGCCACAGCACCACTTCCGGCTTTTTCTGTTTATGTGGTGCTGAGGAATCGAACCCAGGGCCTCATGCGTGCAAGGCGAGCGCTCTACCACTGAGCCACCTTCCCAGCCCCTGCTGTTTTAAAAATAAGCAGTTTTGGACCTTTCCTTTGCTCAGCCGAGCCAGTGGCTCTGTGGACTTTGGCCTGAGCACAGAGGATTCCATCTACCAGTGGAGGGATCTCTAAGTTAAGAATAAATAAGAATAAAGGTATTTGAGCTAGGCGCTGGTGGCTCACGCCTGTAATTCCAGTGAGTCAGGAGGCTGAGATCTGAGCATCACGGATTGAAGCCAGCCTGGGCAGGAAAGTCAGTGAGACTCTGATCTCCGATTCACTAGCAAACATGCGCAAAGTAGAGCTGTGGCTCAAGTGGTAAAACACCAGCTTTGAGCAAAAAAGCTAAGGACAGTGCACAAGCCCTGAGCTCAAGCCCCAGGACTGGACAAAAAAAGAAAGGAAGAAAAGAGAGAGTGGAGGGGGGAGGGAGGAAGGAAGAAAGGAGGGAGGGAGGGAGGGAAAGAAGGAGGGAAGGAGGGAAGGAAGGAAGGAGGGAAGGAAGGAAGGAAGGAAGGAAGGAAGGAAGGAAGGAAGGAAGGAAGGAGGGAAGGAAGAAGGGAAGGAAGGAAGGAAGGAAGAAGGGAAGGAAGGAAGGAAGGAAGGAGGAAGGCAGGCAGGCAGGAAGGAAGGAAGGAAGGAAGGAGGAAGGTAGGCAGGCAAGCAGGAAGGAAGGAAGGAGGAAGGCAGGCAGGCAGGCAGGAAGGAAGGAAGGAAGGAAGGAAGGAAGGAAGGAAGGAAGGAAGGAAGGAGGGAGGGAGGGAAGGAGGGAGGGAAGGGAAGGAAGGAAGGAAGGAAGGAAAGAGGAAGGAAGGAAGGAGATGGATATTCATATTGCCCATGAGTTAAAACCTCATGTCGCGCTGACCTTTGCTTTAACACAGATTTGCACGTATGCCTTCTAAAATGTGCAACCATTTCCCCCCTTTCAGATGACTGCCAAATTAAAAAACGCTCCGCGTCTCTAAACTCTAAGGTAAGTACTCAGTCACTTGCTTAGCATGAAATGCTTAGTTTTCAGAGGTAGTTTGAAGTTATAACCTTTCAATGTAACTAATGAAACATTTCAATTCATATGTGTGCAGAGAAATGTATATACACACATACACATCATATATGTGTGTATACATGCATGTCTATACATATCATACATATATATATACATACTTCATGTGTGTGTGTGTGTGTGTGTGTGTGTGTGTGTGTGTGTGTGTGTCCATTCCTAGAAAACATTATGAAATCTGGCTGGGAAGGTGGCTCAGTGGTAGAGCGCTTGCCTGGCATGCAGGAGGCCCTGGGTTCGATTCCTCAGCACCACATAAACAGAAAAAGCTGGAAGTGGTGCTGTGGCTCAAGTGGTAGAGCGCTAGCCTTGAGCTGAAGAGCTGAAAGACAGTGCCCAGGCCCAGAGTTCAAGTCCCAGGACTGACAGAAGAAAGAAAGAAAGAAAGAAAGAAAGAAAGAAAGAAAGAAAGAAAGAAAGAAAGAAAGAAAGAAAGAAAGAAAGAAAGAAAGAAAGAAAGAAAGAAAGAAAGAAAGAGAAAGTCTTCAATGGAAAAAATAAGGAGAAAGCTCTAAATGTAGATGTACATTTACCCAAGTTGAGGGAAATCTGTTCTAGCATAAAATCAATGATAGCAAGAAAAACAGGAGACTCCACCTGGCTGGGTTAATGATGTAAGTTTTCTTCCATAAAAATAAAATACAGTACCTGAGCACCGGTGGCTCCCGCCTGTCATCCCAGCTGCTCAGGAGGCTGAGATCTGAGGATCACGGTTCAAAGCCAGCCTAGGCAGAAGAGTCCATGAGACTCTTATCTCCAATAAACCACCAGAAAACTGGAGGTGGAATTGTGGCTCAAAGTGGTAGAGCACCAGCCTTGAGCAAAAGAGCGCAGGCCCTGAGTTCAATCCCCAAGACCAACCAAAATAATTAATAAAATGAGATATAGTAAGCCCTCTTATAACAACAGTAAAGGCATGAAAATTTAGAAAAATAAAAGTAACAATATAGAAAGGGTTGGTGGTTCTCAGAGTTGGAAAGTCCTGGTAATTCCAGAGGGAAAAACAAGGTTTATTACTAGAAGTCAATTAAATAAAAATGAGAAACTTCTATATTCTTTTGTGAGCAAATAATAATAATAATACTGTGGTGTTGGGAAAAGTGGAATAAGATTGGTTAAAATGAAATTCAGAGGCAAGTTGTTCATTCAGAGCCTTTCCAAGTCAGGCGCTGGTGGCTTGCAGCTCTCATACTAGCTACTCAGGAGACGGAGGTCAGAGGATTGAAGTCTGAAGCCAGCCCGGACAGGACAGTCTATGGGACTTATTTCCTGTTAACCACTAAGAAGCAGACGTGGAGCTGTGGCATGAATGGTACAGTGCTTAGCCTTAAGCAAAAAGCAGTTCAGGGACAGTGCCCAGGCCCTGAGTTCAAGCCCCATGGCCGGAATAACAGGAAAGCAAGCCTTTAAATTACATCCTCAAAGAGAAGCATCAGTGTTGGTCCTGGGGCTTGAACTCAGGGCCTGGGCGCTGTCCCTGCGCGGCTTTTTGCTCAAGGCTGGTGCTCCGCCACTTTGAGCCACAGCGCCACTTCCAGTTTTCGGGACCTGAGCTGGAGATGAGAGTCTCACAGACTTTCCTGCCCAGGCTGGCTTTGAACTGGGATCCTCAGCTCTCAGCCCGCTGAGTAGCTGGGATGACAGGGAATACGCCACCCGCGCCCAAGCCTGGAGAATGATCTCAATGTCCATTTCCACCTTTGGCCAGCCGTCTTCCCTCCGGAGAGTGACGATTGCTTCTTTACCCAGAAGCCTCGGCAGTGCAGGCATGGTAAGCAAATGTCCTGGGTTCCACTCAAACGCATGTTCATTTTTATCTAACAAAACGATGTCCCTTGTCACAGCCCTGTTTTGCTCTTTAATGTCTGAACCTCTGCAGGCCGCCGGGCTGGAGAGCAGCGACCGGTTCAGCAGAAGGGCCAGCAGTTGGTAAGTCTGACTTGGCCACTCGCCGCGGGGAACCTTCTCGTGTGAGAACTGGATCAGCCTTTGGGATAGTCGCTACAGTCCCGGGACTTCCTCAGAGGGCAAAGCCTGGGGCGGACTCCTGGCACTTAAGGAAGCGTGGAGGGGAGACAGTGCAGTCGCGTCTGTGTTGATGTAAGGCAATTCATGATCCGCACTGAAAAGACATCTGATTTGCTGGACAGCTCATCTTCTTCGCACAGGCGGGCGCTGGGGTCCAAGCAGAGCGAGCACCGTCCATCACTGTACCGGTTCATTAGCACCTACTCCTGGGAAGACACGGAGGATGAAAAACGAGAGCTCAAGTAGGTGGAAAGGACTGGGGAGAGGGTGTAAACACTGGGTATGTAATTCCGTGGAGAGGCCAATGCTGCACTCAGAGGACAATTCATTGACAGTCCTACAGCATTCCATGTCATCGGTCAATATTTCCTTTTTTTTTTGTCTTAGCTCTTTTTATGTGTGCGTGGTGGTGTTTGAACTCAGTGCTCTCCTGTGGCTTTTTCACTCAAGGTTGGTGCTCTACCGCTTGAGCCGCAGCTCCCCTTCTGGCTTTTTTGGTGGTTCATTGGAGATAAGAGTCTCATGGACTTTCCTGGCCTGGGCTGGCTTTGAACCATGATCCTCAGATCTCAGCCTCCTCAGTCACTATGATGACAGCAGAAGACCCTGGTGGTTGATTTTTGTTGTTGTAATTCACGTTTGTGATCTTCAATTAGACAAGTGCTTGACTTTTACAGATTTTGCGATGGTCAATTCTTTCCTATGTCAGGTGCCTGCCATCAGAGGAAAAGTTCAATGATGACCCACAGAAGTAAAAATCTCGGGGGCTGGGAAGGTGGTTCAGTGGTAGAGCGCTTGCCTTGCATGCCTGAGGCCCTGGGTTCGATTCCTCAGCACCACATAAGCAGAAAAAAAAGCCAGAAGTGGCACTGGGCTCAAGTGGTAAAGTGTTAGCAATGAGCTGAAGAGCTGAGGGACAGCACCCAGGCCCAGAGTTCAGGCCCCACGACCGGACCCCCCCCCCCCAAAAAAAAGAAAAATCTCCACCTACTTATGCCTGTCATCCTAGCTATTCAGGAGCTGAGATCTGAGGATCACAGTTCAAAGCCAGCCGGGGCAGGAAAGTCTATGAGACTTAGCTCCAGTGAACCACCCAAAAGAGACAGAAGTGGCGCTGTGGCTCAAGTGGTAGAGCGCCAGCCTTGAGCAAAAGCGCTCAGGAACCGACACGACCAACAAAATAAATGAATGCATAAAATTCTTAGAGAAAGAAATGACATTGATTTTATTCCACGTGATCAACGATCGTTCAGAGGAAATAAAATCAACAGCGAATACGGGATACTGAAAACTGTGTGCTAGAAGAATGTTTTATGAGAAAAAATTTTACTATGTTTCCAAGGAAGAAAAATGGTATTCACATTTTTTACAGATGTGTAAATGTGTGTGTGTGTGTGTGTAGAGAAAGAAATCACAGTTATTAATGCTGGTTAATGATGAGTGGTGAGATTGTAATTTCTACATTTCTGCTTTTGTTATCTTTGGCTACTGTTCCAGAACCTGGACTTGAACTCAGGGCCTGGAGATCACTATGCTTTTCTTCTCACAGATGACGCTGTTACCCCTTGAGCCACACTTCCTGCTGGTCTACTGCCTGATTAATTGGAGGTGGACTCTTCCGAAGTCTTGGGTTGGCAATCCTCTGGATCTCAGGCCTCCTGAGTGGCTCAAACCACCCAGACTCGGCTGAGAAAGCTAATTTTCAATTAAATTCCTACAGCGGGGTGCTGGTGGCTCACGCCTATAATTGTAGCTTCTCTGGAGACTGAGTTCTGCGGATCATGGTTCAAAGCCGGCCTGGAGCAGGAAAGTTCATGAGACTTTTTATCTCCAATTAGCCAGAAAAAAAAAAAAAAAAAAGCTGGAAGTGGCGCTGTGGCTCAAGTGGCAGAGCGCTAGCCTTGAGCACAAAAGCTCAGGGACAGCGCCCAGGCCCTGAGTTCAAATCTCAGGTCTGTCTGTCTGTCTGTCTCTCTCATACGCACACACTCCTACACAGCTGATGGCATATCTTTTAGAATTAGATATCAACATTTTAGCACGCAAAACAAACACTCATGGATGCTGAGCCATACGGTGAATTCACCATAGGTGGTGAATGGTGGGGGGTAGCAGTTCTGATTTCCACTGTCTGAACCCAGCGCTTGTTTGCAGAGCCCAAGTTGACTCAGAGCCTGCTGGAGAAGAGACGGTGGAAAGAACAAGGCAGGCCAGCCTCTCTGAAAAGAACACTCCACCCAGGTGGGACGTGTCATCTTTGTAAGTTCACCCCAGACAGCACTGTGGCGGGGGAAAGGGGGTGCAGGGTCACACCGGGCCATCAAAGCAACACCTGCTGACAGCCAGGCGCCGTGGCTCCCGCCCCTCATCCCGGCTGCTCGGAGGCTGAGCGCTGAGGATCGTGGTTGGAGGCCAGCCTGGGCGGGGAGGCCCAGGGCACTCTTGGGAAGTGGCGCTGTGGCTCAAGTGGTAGAGCGCCCGCCTCGAGCCTAAAGAGGCTCAGGGACAGCACCCAGGCCCCGAGTTCGAGACCCGTGACCACCACCACCAACGAAGAAACCTAAAACGCGAGGCCGGGCCACGCTGTTGAACAGGGGATGCGCAGCAGACCTTGTGTGCTCTGCTACGGGCCTGGGATGACCTGGCCACAGAGTTAAACGAGGTCAGAGGAAGTGAGGGCTTCCGGAACGTGTTTTCGTTTCCATTTGCTTTGCTCTTGCTAGGCAAGATGTCCACCCCGGAGCCATGCTCCTAGCCCTGGTTATTTCTTAGGTAGGTCCTGCATGCTCTTGGGTGGCTTCTGGCCTGACCTTCGGATCCCAGGGCTAGCCGGGAGCCGTGGGCGAACCGCTACGCCCCGTTGTGTGCTCTGTCCAGGTGGGGTCTTGGTTGGCTGTTTCCTCGGGCTGATGTTGAATCATGATCCTCCCCCCACCCCAACTCCACCTCCTGATCAGCTGCGTATAGACACGAGCCATCAGACCTACCCTCGGGTGGGTGTTTGGGGTTTTTTTTGGTCAGTCATGAGGTTTGAACTCAGGGCCTGGGCGCTGTCCCTGAGCTTCTTTTGCTCAAGGCTGGTGCTCTACCTCTTGAGCCACAGCGCCACTTCTGGTTTTCTGGTGGTTCATTGGAGGTCAGAGCCTCCTAGACTTTCCTGCCCAGGCTGGCTTTGAACCACGATCCTCAGACCTCAGCCTCCTGAGTCGCTGGGATGACAGGCAGGAGACACTGGCGCTCATCTTGCTGGGTGTTTTAAGGATAAAAATCTTAAATTTCAGCACAGTAGACATACAGAACGTAACAGAAAGCAATGAGCTAGCATATTTATGTATTTGTATATATTATACATGGTGTGTCGTGTATGTGTATATATGTGAGTACACACGCATTATATGTGTGTACATACACATCAGCATATAGATATACACAAATATTACACCTAAACATCAAATACACATCAAATATATAACCATATATATTTATATACAGCCGAGTATCTTATGTAACCATGTTATACATAATTATATACTACAGTTATAGATGTGACCATACCCTGTATATTATACATACACATACACGTTATATAAACTCACACATACACACATGGGTATATACATGTGTGTATATAAACATACGCGCGTGTGTGCATCACACACACGTGTAGATGCACATGCATGTAGTGCACACACTCATGGAGCTTGCTTTAGCAAGTGGGTGTTTCTTTTGGCCAGTCCCGGGCTTGAACTCGGGGCCTGGGCGCTGTCCTGTCCTGGGCTTGAACTCGGGGCCTGGGCGCTGTCCTGGGCGCTGTCCTGGGCGCTGTCCTGGGCGCTGTCCTGTCCTGGGCGCTGTCCTGGGCGCTGTCCTGTCCTGGGTGCTGTCCTGGGCGCTGTCCTGGGCGCTGTCCTGTCCTGGGCGCTGTCCTGTCCTGGGCGCTGTCCTGTCCTGGGCGCTGTTCTGTCCTGGGCGCTGTCCTGGGCGCTGTCCTGTCCTGTCCTGGGCGCTGTCCTGTCCTGGGTGCTGTCCTGTCCTGGGCGCTGTCCTGTCCTGGGCGCTGTCCTGTTCTGTCCTGGGCGCTGTCCTGGGCGCTGTCCTGTCCTGGGCGCTGTTCTGTCCTGGGCGCTGTCCTGGGCGCTGTTCTGTCCTGGGCGCTGTCCTGGGCGCTGTCCTGTCCTGTCCTGGGCGCTGTTCTGTCCTGGGCGCTGTCCTGGGCGCTGTCCTGGGCGCTGTCCTGGGCGCTGTTCTGTCCTGGGCGCTGTCCTGTCCTGGGCGCTGTCCTGTCCTGGGCGCTGTCCTGTCCTGTCCTGGGCGCTGTTCTGTCCTGGGCGCTGTCCTGGGCGCTGTCCTGGGCGCTGTTCTGTCCTGGGCGCTGTCCGGGCCTCTCTGTGCTCGAGGCGGGCGGTGTCTGCGGTGCTGAGGATTCGAACCCTTGCTGCGCCCTGGAGGCCCGTGCGCTGGGTCTGCGGGAGGGCGACCCACACGCCTGGAGTTGGGGTCTGCCTGCGTTTGGTGGGGGGGGGCTGGGCGTGCTGTCCGTCGGTCCGTCCGGCCGCCGCTCACGCCCGCCCCGTGTCCGCAGCTCCGGCCCCGCCTTCTCCTGGGCCCTGGGCGCGGCGGCGCATGCGCAGCTGCGGCGCGGGCTCCTGGCGCTGTGCGCAGCCGCGGCCGCCTGCGCCGTCCTGGCCGCCGTCCTGGCCGGGTGGTGGCTGCGGAGGCCGGCGGAGGCCGCGCCCGGCCCGCAGGGACCCGCGTGACGCGCGTGACCCATGTGACCACCCGCGTGACCCGAGTGACCCGCGTGACCGCCCACGTGACCGCCCGCACCGCGGCCCCGCCGGACTCCACCGCAGCGGCCCTGGGCTGGGCAGGAGCCTCAGGAGCGCTGATCCCCGTGCTCCCAGTGATCCCCGTGATCCCAGTGCTCCCAGTGATCCCCGTGCTCCCAGTGATCCCCGTGATCCCCGTAATCCCAGTGCTCCCCGTGCTCCCCAGTGCTCCCAGTGCTCCCCAGTGATCCCCGTGCTCCCAGTGATCCCCGTGCTCCCCAGTGCTCCCCAGTGCTCCTAGTGCTCCCCAGTGCTCCTAGTGCTCCCCAGTGCTCCTAGTGCTCCCCAGTGATCCCCGTGCTCCCAGTGCTCCCAATGCTCCCCAGTGATCCCAGTGATCCCCGTGATCCCCGTAATCCCAGTGCTCCCCGTGCTCCCCAGTGCTCCCAATGCTCCCCAGTGCTCCCCAGTGCTCCTAGTGCTCCCCAGTGCTCCCCAGTGATCCCCGTGCTCCCAGTGCTCCCAATGCTCCCCAGTGATCCCAGTGCTCCCCGTGCTCCCAGTGCTCCCCGTGCTCCCCAGTGCTCCCCAGTGCTCCCAGTGCTCCCCAGTGCTCCCAGTGCTCCCCAGTGCTCCCCAGTGATCTCCGTGCTCCCAGTGCTCCCAATGCTCCCCAGTGATCCCAGTGCTCCCAGTGATCCCCGTGCTCCCAGTGATCCCAGTGCTCCCAGTGATCCCCGTGATCCCAGTGATCCCCGTGCTCCCAGTGCTCCCCGTGCTCCCCAGTGCTCCCCGTGCTCCCCAGTGCTCCCAGTGCTCCCAGTGCTCCCCAGTGCTCCCCGTGCTCCCAGTGCTCCCCAGTGCTCCCACTGCTCCCCAGTGATCCCCGTGCTCCCCAGTGATCCCCGTGCTCCCAGTGCTCCCCGTGCTCCCAGTGCTCCCCGTGCTCCCCAGTGCTCTGTGATCCCCGTGCTCCCCAGTGATCCCCGTGCTCCCAGTGCTCCCCGTGCTCCCCGTGCTCCCCAGTGCTCTCAGTGATCTCCGTGCTCCCCAGTGCTCTCAGTGATCCCCGTGCTCCCCAGTGCTCCCAGTGCTCCCCAGTGCTCCCCGTGCTCCCCAGTGCTCTCAGTGATCCCCGTGCTCCCAGTGCTCCCACTGCTCCCCGTGCTCCCCAATGCTCCCCAGTGCTCCCCAGTGCTCTCAGTGCTCCCCAGTGATCCCAGTGATCCCCGTGATCCCCGTAATCCCAGTGCTCCCCAGTGCTCCCAGTGCTCCCAGTGATCCCCGTGATCCCCGTAATCCCAGTGCTCCCCGTGCTCCCCAGTGCTCCCAGTGCTCCCAGTGATCCCCGTGCTCCCCAGTGCTCCCAGTGCTCCCCGTGATCCCCGTAATCCCAGTGCTCCCCGTGCTCCCCAGTGCTCCCAGTGCTCCCCAGTGCTCCTAGTGCTCCCCAGTGCTCCCCAGTGATCCCCGTGCTCCCAATGCTCCCCAGTGATCCCAGTGATCCCCGTGATCCCCGTAATCCCAGTGCTCCCCGTGCTCCCCAGTGCTCCCAGTGCTCCCCAGTGCTCCTAGTGCTCCCCAGTGCTCCCCAGTGATCCCCGTGCTCCCAATGCTCCCCAGTGATCCCAGTGCTCCCCGTGATCCCAGTGATCCCGTGCTCCCAGTGCTCCCCGTGCTCCCCAGTGCTCCCCAGTGCTCCCCAGTGCTCCCAGTGCTCCCCAGTGATCTCCGTGCTCCCAGTGCTCCCAATGCTCCCCAGTGATCCCAGTGCTCCCAGTGATCCCCGTGCTCCCAGTGATCTCAGTGCTCCCAGTGATCCCCGTGATCCCAGTGATCCCCGTGCTCCCAGTGCTCCCCGTGCTCCCCAGTGCTCCCCGTGCTCCCCAGTGCTCCCAGTGCTCCCAGTGCTCCCCGTGTTCCCAGTGCTCCCCAGTGCTCCCACTGCTCCCCAGTGATCCCCGTGCTCCCCAGTGATCCCCGTGCTCCCAGTGCTCCCCGTGCTCCCCGTGCTCCCCAGTGCTCTGTGATCCCCGTGCTCCCCAGTGATCCCCGTGCTCCCAGTGCTCCCCGTGCTCCCCGTGCTCCCCAGTGCTCTCAGTGATCCCCGTGCTCCCCAGTGCTCTCAGTGATCCCCGTGCTCCCCAGTGCTCCCCAGTGCTCCCCGTGCTCCCAGTGCTCCCCGTGCTCCCCAGTGCTCTCAGTGATCCCCGTGCTCCCAGTGCTCCCACTGCTCCCCGTGCTCCCCAGTGCTCCCCAGTGCTCCCCGTGCTCCCAGTGCTCCCCAGTGCTCCCCGTGCTCCCCAGTGATCCCCGTGCTCCCAGTGCTCCCACTGCTCCCCGTGCTCCCCAATGCTCCCCAGTGCTCCCCAGTGCTCTCAGTGCTCCTCGTGCTCCCCAGGCTCCCCGGCGGGATGACCCTCAGGGAGGACGGCCATGGCTTCCCCAAATGTATCCAAATAAAGATCCATTCCATAGCCAGCGTGGACGGCTACGTGCACACTGACACGCGCGCGTGTGCGCACCCTCACGGACACGCGTGCACACCTACACAGACACGTGTGCACACCTACACACCGACACACACGCACGGCTCGACACCGCCCCACATGGAGCCACCTTCCAAGCAAAAAGCAGAGCAGGAAGGCGTCAGCAATGCTTGCTATTGGGCGGATTCCGCAGCGCGCAGGGCGCGGCCGCTGGTCATTGGTCGCGGCCCTGACCGGCCCCGCCCCCGGCAGGGCACACAGCCCCGCCCCCGGGAGGCCCCGCCCCTAGGAGAAGCTGAGCAGGCGCGTGGCCAGCAGCAGCTGGCACACGGCATCCACGTGCCGGCCGGCCCCGCCCCCGGGAGGCCCCGCCCCGGGAGGCCCCGCCCCCGGAGGCCCCGCCCCCGGCAGGGCACACAGCCCCGCCCCCGGGAGGCCCCGCCCCTAGGAGAAGCTGAGCAGGCGCGTGGCCAGCAGCAGCTGGCACACGGCGTCCACGTGCCGGCCGGCCCCGCCCCCAGGAGGCCCCGCCCCAGGAGGCCCCGCCCCAGGAGGCCCCGCCCCTAGGAGAAGCTGAGCAGGCGCGTGGCCAGCAGCAGCTGGCACACGGCGTCCACGTGGCGGCCGGCCCCGCCCCCGGGAGGCCCCGCCCCCGGGATGCCCCGCCCCCGGGAGGCCCCGCCCCTAGGAGAAGCTGAGCAGGCGCGTGGCCAGCAGCAGCTGGCACACGGCGTCCACGTGGCGGCCGGCCGCGGCGCGGATCCTGTCCAGGGCTTCGGGCGACGCGTAGTCGCTGACCATGTGGAAGAGGCTCGAGTGGAACTCGGTGCCGTCCTCCACGGCCTCCGAGAACGCGTCGCTGTCCTCCGTCAGCTTCAGCCGCTGCGCGCGCTGGCCGCTGAACAGGAGCAGGGCCCAGTCCGCGGCGAGGGGCCGGCCGGGCGCCTGCTCCCGGGCCTGGGGAGAGAGAGCGGGCGGGCGGGCTGCGGGAGGCGGGCGGGCTGCGGGAGGCGGAGGGGCTGCGGGAGGCGGAGGGGCTGCGGGAGGCGGAGCGGCTGCGGGAGACGGAGGGGCTGCGGGAGGCGGGCCGGCTGCGGGAGGCGGGCCGGCTGCGGGAGGCGGAGGGGCTGCGGGAGGCGGGCCGGCTGCGGGAGGCGGAGGGGCTGCGGGAGGCGGAGGGGCTGCGGGAGGCGGAGCGGCTGCGGGAGACGGAGGGGCTGCGGGAGGCGGGCCGGCTGCGGGAGGCGGGCCGGCTGCGGGAGGCGGAGGGGCTGCGGGAGGCGGGCCGGCTGCGGGAGGCGGAGGGGCTGCGGGAGGCGGAGGGGCTGCGGGAGGCGGAGGGGCTGCGGGGTCTGGGGGAGCGGGGTCTGGGGGAGCGGGGTCTGGGGGGAGCGGGGTCTGGGGGGAGCGGGGTCTGGGGGGTCTGCATCTGGGGGGAGCGGGGTCTGGGGGGAGCGGGGTCTGGGGGGGAGCGGGGTCTGGGGGAGCGGGGTCTGGGGGGAGCGGGGTCTGGGGGGAGCGGGGTCTGGGGGGTCTGCATCTGGGGGGAGCGGGGTCTGGGGGGAGCGGGGTCTGGGGGAGCGGGGTCTGGGGGAGCGGGGTCTGGGGGGAGCGGGGTCTGGGGGGAGCGGGGTCTGGGGGGTCTGCATCTGGGGGGAGCGGGGTCTGGGGGGAGCGGGGTCTGGGGGAGCGGGGTCTGGGGGAGCGGGGTCTGGGGGAGCGGGGTCTGGGGGAGCGGGGTCTGGGGGGGAGCGGGGTCTGGGGGAGCGGGGTCTGGGGGGAGCGGGGTCTGGGGGGTCTGCATCTGGGGGGAGCGGGGTCTGGGGGGAGCGGGGTCTGGGGGGGAGCGGGGTCTGGGGGAGCGGGGTCTGGGGGGAGCGGGGTCTGGGGGGAGCGGGGTCTGGGGGAGCGGGGTCTGGGGGGAGCGGGGTCTGGGGGAGCGGGGTCTGGGGGGAGCGGGGTCCGGGGGAGCGGGGTCTGGGGGAGTGGGGTCTGGGGGGAGCGGGGTCTGGGGGGAGCGGGGTCTGGGGGGGAGCGGGGTCTGGGGGAGCGGGGTCTGGGGGGGAGCGGGGTCTGGGGGGAGCGGGGTCTGGGGGGGAGCGGGGTCTGGGGGAGCGGGGTCTGGGGGGGAGCGGGGTCTGGGGGGAGCGGGGTCTGGGGGGAGCGGGGTCTGGGGGGAGCGGGGTCTGGGGGGAGCGGGGTCTGGGGGGGAGCGGGGTCTGGGGGGAGCGGGGTCTGGGGGGAGCGGGGTCTGGGGGAGCGGGGTCTGGGGGGGAGCGGGGTCTGGGGGAGCGGGGTCTGGGGGGAGCGGGGTCTGGGGGGAGCGGGGTCTGGGGGGAGCGGGGTCTGGGAGGTCTGCATCTGGGGGGAGCGGGGCTGAGCTGCGGGTCTGGGCGTCAGGGGTCTCAGCCCTCCGCCCGCTGAGCAGCCGGGCTGGCCGGAGCCACGGGTGGGCGCCTGGTGGCACTGACGACACTGGGACACGGGCAGACACTGCGGGTGGTAAGTGGCCAGACGCCCCCTCCGAGGACCTGGGGTTCACACTGGCTGGTAAGTTGCCAGACGCCCCCTCCGAGGACCTGGGGTTCACGCTGGCTGGTTAATGGCCAGACGCCCCCTCCGAGGACCTGGGGTTCAGGCTGGCTGGTTAATGGCCAGACGCCCCCTCCGAGGACCTGGGGTTCAGGCTGGCTGGTAAGTTGCCAGACGCCCCCTCCGAGGACCTGGGGTTCAGGCTAGCTGGTAAGTGGCCAGATGCCCCCTCCGAGGACCTGGGGTTCAGGCTGGCTGGTAAGTGGCCAGACGCCCCCTCCGAGGACCTGGGGTTCACCGCTGGCCTGTTCTGCGGCGTACGGGGTCTCGGGCCTGTGAGACGCACCCACCTTAAACACCACCTTCTGCGAGTCGCACACCGCGTTCCACTTGCTCCAGCCGAAGGCGAAGGTCGAGCTCAGCAGGGCGATCTGTCGGTAGGCCTTGACCTCCACCAGGGCCCCCTGCGGACGGGACACAGCACACACCCCTGAAGGGCCCCCTGCGGACGGGACACAGCAGACACCCCAAAGGGCCCCCCTGAGTCTCCTCCACCGTGGCAGACACCCCGAAGGGCCCCCCTGAGTCTCCTCCACCGTGGCAGACACCCCGAAGGGCCCCCCTGAGTCTCCTCCACCGTGGCCCCCTGTGGGCTATTCTCACACGAGGACCCATTTGCTCATTTAGTTGTTGTTGTGGGTCGTGGGTCTTGAACTCTGGGCCTGGGCGCTGTCCCTCAGCTCTTCAGCTCAAGGCTGGCGCTCTACCACTTGAGCCACAGCGCCACTTCCGGTTTCCTAGTGGTTTATTGGGGATAAAGAGTCTCACGGCCTCTCCTGCCCAGGCTGGCTTTGAACTGTGATCCTCCAATCTCAGCCTCCTGAGTAGCTGGGATTTAGTGTTTCTGAAGACGTGCTCAGTTGAGGAGCTGAGCAGAGATGGTCTCTTCCACCTCCCTGCAAGCAGCTGTACTGAAGGGTTTCCATTTGACGTGGCAGAGGGTGAGGACCACGCGCCTTGATCCACGCTGCCCCTCCCATCCTTCCCCCCCACCCCCGGCTCCAGGTTTGTCCATGGACACTGCGCAGCACAAGGGCCGTTTCCCACCCTTCCTCTCTCTCTTCATGGGCCCTCCCTCCCCTGAGCCTCTCCCTCTCCACCAAGCCCCAGCTTCCGGCATTCCCGCCATTGCAGGAACCCCGCCTTGCAGATACCAAATCTTAGTTAACTGGCTTGTGTCTACATGCATGTGACTCCGTGCGTTTCCATGTGCTTGTCCAGGTCCATCCGTTTCCTTGCAAATGACATCAAATGGTTCTTCCACTCCGTGTGTGAGCCTCCTCGGGCTGTCTGCTGCTTAACTGGAGACCAGAGTTTCTCATGGACTTTCCTGCCCAGGCTGGCTTCATCTCTGATTCTCAGAGTGCAGCCTCCTGAGTGGCTGAGATTACAGGCAGGAGCCACGGCGCCTCGCTGGTTTTATATGTGTGTGTATGTGTTTGTTTTAGCCTATGCATTTATGTGCACACTGGTGGCTATATAATTATCCCCATTAAGAGAATGCACAGGTTTATTTACCCTTTTAAGATACCTTCTGCCAGGCCTGGTGGCTCAGGCCTGTAATCCTAGCTACCCAGCAAGGTAGAAGCCAGCCTGGGCAGGAAAAGTCTGTGAGCTGCTCCCCTCCTCTCCCAGCTGTGGCTCAAGTGATAGAGCACTAGCCTTGAGCAAAAATACCCAGGGACAGTGTCCAGCCCTGAGTTCAAGCCCCAGGACTGGCACCAGAAAGGAAGGGAGGGAGGGAGAGAGGAGGGAGGGAGGAAGGGAGGGAGGGAGGAAAGAAAGAGGAAGAGAGACAGGAAGGAAGGAAGGAAAGGAAAGAAAAAGAAAATAAAGAAACCTTCCACCTATCTAGCCACACAAAAGGAAAGAAATGATACAAAATGAGGATCTCAGGACATTTTTGCATTAAGCCTGCTCCTTTGGTGAATATGAAGACCATACATATGTATATTGGTTTAGTGCGTGAGGAAGACCATTCAGCTGAGCGAACTCTGAATTTCTGTTCTTCTTGCTTGTTCTTTCCTTCCTTCCCAAATATAATCCAGTATAGAACTCACGATATCAAACAGGTGCGACACCAGCTTGTCATCCGAGGCTTGTAGAGCCAGAGGATGACAGTTCAAAGCCAGCCTGGACAGAAAGTCCCCAAGACTCCATCTCCAAGACAACTAGCAAAAAGCCAGCCCGGAGGCATGGCTCAGGTGGAAGAGCACCAGCCTACCACGCCAAACAAGCACAAGGCTCAGATTTCAAATCCCAGTACTGTTAAAAACAAACGAACAAGACCTACAACCCATGGTATAGCTAAAGGCAGACAAAGTTCAGTGCCTGCCTGCACTCTGAATGTCCTAATAAAGTTTGAAAGATTCGCGCTTGCCTTATTGTTGATAATCACGTATAGATGAGAGAATCGGGTCGGGAAGATATTCAGCCCAACTTCTTTCAACGCAGTAATGAAGGGGATCAGAGCCAGCCATTTGCCCTTCAGATTGGAAACTGGCCTTTGGTCTTTCAGCTTGACTGAAGATAGCATACAGAGGTTTTCCTAAGTTTAAACGAGAAAAAAAAAAAGCAGCTTTAATTTTAAAAACCTTCAATGATAGCTGTGCTACTGCTCCAGGTTCGGCTTCTGATTAGTTATTATTATTGCTGCTATTTTATTTCTTTTTTTTTGGTTGGTCGTGGGGCTTGAACTCGGGGCCTGGGCGCTGTCCCTCAGCTCTTCAGCTCAAGGCTGGCGCTCTACCACTTGAGCCACAGCGCCACTTCCGGTTTTCTGAATGGTTTATGGGAGATCAGAGTCTCATGGGCTTTCCTGCCTGGGCTGGCCTTGAACCCCATCCTCAGCTCTCAGCCTCCTGAGTAGCTGGGATGCTAGGCGTGAGCCCCGGGGCCCGGCTGGGCTGTGTGTTTTGTGACAGAGAGGCTTCTCAGAGGGAGAGCCGCCTCACAGGGGGTTCAAGGGCTCTCTAAGGGACCAGGGGGTCTCCTTAGGGTGCGCCAGGCCCTTGGGAATTCACGCCAGCCCCTGGCTGGTGGGCTGGTCCCTGACCTATCCCCAGGGAATGTAGGGTGCACCATACGGAGGATGACCTACTCGTGTGAGTCATTCTTCAGTGATAGCTCACGGGCTTCTCTGCCCCAGCTGGCTGCCACAAAGATTAAGTGGTACTGCTCTGCCCAGACCCCCGTTAGAAACGGGGCATTTCCCGCTCAAGGGATACTTCATATGCACTTAGAAAGTTGATATATACAGACGTATACATGTATAGATAAGTGTGCGTGTGTGCGTATGTGTCTCTGTGCTTGAACTGAGGGCCTGGACCCTGTCTTTAGCTTTTTCATTCAAGGCTAGCTCTCTGCCACTTGAACCACGCCTCCATGTGTAGCTGGTGGTTTTTTGGTCTGAGACCAGGACTCGAACTCGGTAACTCGGCAACACTTGTTTTGCTCATCGGCTAGCACCCTACCAACTGAGCCGCCTCCAACCCCCGCAGCTTGTGGCTTGTGAGTGGTTCTCACAGACTTTCCTGCTCGGGCTGCCTCTGAATGGTGGCCTTCAGATCTCAGCCTCCTGATGGCTGGGGTTCTGTCCTGTGTAGAGCAGGGCTCACTCGCTCACTCCTGTCAGCTCCTGGCAGTCTTACCTTGATCTGGATCTGGAACTCGGTGAACGCCGTGGTCACCGTCAGGAGGACTCTGTTCAGGTCCAGAGGCACCATCTCCCACGACAGGTAGGGCATGTTTATGTGAGCGTCTTGGACCAGGGTGAAGGGGCCGGGCACCTCCAGGCTGAAGGACAGGAGCTTGTCTTCCTCTTTGTAATACACGTCACTGATGCCGCCCTTCTTCCAGCCCTGACCTTGAGAATGACGGGACGGGGAGCATTGCGTTCATCTTTCGCTGTCAGAGAGCGCACGCGTAAAACTGCCCTGGGAATTTCCCAGTGTGTGAGGCGGCCTGCTTTGTGTGGTGCTTTTCTCTCGTGCCGGCACTGGGACTTGAATTTAAGGCCTCGAACACTCCCTCAGTTGTTGTGGGTTTTTGTGTTTGGTTGGTTTTGGGGCTTGAACTCACAGCCCGGGCACTGTCCTTGAGCTCTTTGGCTCAAGGCTACTGCTCTACCACGTTGAGCTTCCCCGGGCTGGCTTTGAACCTGGATCTTGACATCTCAGCCTCCTGATTAGCTGGAATTACAGGCTCTGCCGCTTGAGCTACAAAATCCGTTTAAAAATACAACTTGTGTTCATCTCTGTCAAAAGCACATAAGAAGATGAGCAAGGCAGTGCATGCCCGTAATCCCAGCGACTTGAGCGGCTGAGATGTGAAGATCAAAGTTGGAGGTCAGTGTGTACAAAACGCGATCGAGACCCCCCCATCTCAGCCAGTAAGATGCTAGGTCGAATGGGGTCCAATTTTCATCCCAGCTGCACGAGAAGAAAAAACTGCAGGATGTGACCTAGCCCGGGCCAGAGAAAAACGTTCCTATTCAAAACAAAACAAAACAGAAAGGCAAGGCGGGGTTCAGCGTGCAGCGTCTGCCGAGCAAGCAGAAGGTTCTGAGTTCAAAACCCAGTATCTCAAAAAAGAAAAAACAGCAGCAGCGAAAGTTGGCATAAAAAGACGCAAGAAAGAAAAATCCTGGTTTATGTAAGGATTTACCATTTTGTCTTTTCCTTGCTTTCTTTCCCTTCCTTCCCTCCCCCTCCCTCTTTCCTTCCTTCCTTTTTTTGCCCGATCTGGGGTTTTGAACTCAGGGCCTGGGCGCTGTCCCTGAGCTTCTCTGGCTCAAGGCTGGCGCTCTACCACTTAAGCCACACCGCCACTTCCGGCCTGTTCTCTGTGGTTTATTGGACATAAGCATCTCACAGATTTTCCTGCCCGGGCTGGCTTTGAACTGCGATCTTCAGATCTCGGCCTCCTCAGGAGCTAGGCTGACAGGAATGAGCCACCTGAGCCCAGCCGCTTGCTTGCTTCTTTCCTTCCTGTTATCCTACCAGTGCGAGGGTTTGAACTCGGGGCCTGGAGCTCAAGGCCTGGGCTCTACACGTACAGCCACAGCTCCACTTCTAACTCGAGTCTCGTGGACTTTCCCGCCCCGGCTGGCTGTGGACCGCGATCCTCCGGATCTCAGCCTCCTGGGTAGCGCCAGCTCTGGTTTAATGACACGGGGCTCAGCGCCAGGGTCGAGCGCCACTGTACCTTCGGCGTCCCACCTGACCACCATCGGCTCTTCGAAGAAGACGACGTTCTCGGGGAGCTGCAGGGTGATTTCGATGGGCGGGAAGGCGTTCTCCGGATCCAGCTCTTCCACCGACTCGGGAGGATACGTGAAATTCTGTAATTCTCCTCTGAGCAGCTGTAAAGGATCACAACAGCAGCGTGTTAGAAGAGCAGTGGGCACACGCGGCCGGCCGGGACGGCGCTGGGGAGAGAGAGGCCCTTCCCCTCCCCCCAGCCAGTCCCCTCTCCCCCCACGGCTCCAGGTCACGCGAGGGCCCATGAATTCCCATCACGGCCCATCTCCTTCACCCGCTCCCCCCTCCGCCGCCCTCCACTACCCACAACCCCCAACCGGCTCTGTGCGTTCCCGCCACTCCCGCTTTTGGGGTGCATTAATTTTCAGTGGGGTTTCATCACGGTATTTCACACACACGCTTTAATCTGACCCACCTCTCCCTCCCCCCCCCCCCCCCGGCCTCCCCCGCTGCTCACAGGAAGATCTGGTTTTACACAAGGACTTTCCTTTGGTTCTCTGATCGATGGATTTCATTTTCCTTTATTTTGTCGGTCATGGGACTTGAACTCAGGGCCTGGGCGCTGTCCCTGAGCTCTTTTGCTCAAGGTTAACACTCTATCACTCTGAACCACAGCTCCACTTCTGTTTTTCTGGTGGTTTCATTGGAGATAAAGGTCTCACAGACTTTCCTGCCCGGGCTGGCTTTGAACCATGATCCTCAGATCTCAGCCTCCCGAGTAGCTGGGGTGACAGTGTGAGCCTCAAATCCACAGATTTGACTAAGACAATGCCACAACAATATCGAAAGACAAAAGATAATCACGACATTTCAGTGTGATTGTATAAACTCTTGTCAGTCAGAATCTCGTGTGTGTGTGTGTGTGTGTGTGTGTGTGTGTGTGTGTGTGTGTGTGTGTGTGTGTTGGTACTGGGCCTTAAACTCACAGACCGAGCACTGTCCTGTAGCTTTTAGGATCAAGCCTGGCGCTCTACCACTTGATCCATACCTCCACTTACGGCTTTTTGGGTGGCTCATTGCAAGTAAGAGTCCTGCCTAGGCTGGCTTCAAACCAGGACCTTCAGCTCTGTCTCCTGAGTGGCTGGGATGACGGGCATGAGCCCCGGGAATGTGGCTCTATGAACTATGGCTTATGGTGAGTTTCTCCACCATTCCATTCCTCTCAGCGGCCCTGCGAAGCCTCTGCTTTGTGCGACTGGGCCTGGACGTCAGGCCGTGGAGCTGGCTGGGCAGGTGCGTACCGCTCCGAGCCAAACCTCCAGCCCTTTAAAGCCCTGCGCTGAACAGAGAAGGAGCTAGGATTGGAGTCTGGAGGGCGCGGGGCGGCTTCGCGGGCGAGGCCGGCGCAGGCTCTGTCTGGACCGAGCAGGGATGCATCTGGGAAGTGGGGCCAGGTCACGAGTGTGAGAAAAGACCAGAAATGAAGAAGATGAGGTGAGGAGGACACGTGGGGGGGGCCGGTGTGAGTACGCGGCAGGGCACGGCGTGGTACCATTAGATGACTCCAGAAAATTCGAGAACGTTCTGGGTGAATCCTAGAAACGTGCCCGCTCAGCCTGGTCTTTCCTCTGGGGAGAACAGGACTCTTCCCCTCAGCAGCCAACCCTACAGAGATGTCTGCCTCAGTGTACCACTGGTTTGGGGGGGATCTTTGAGGCAGAGAAAAGGAAGAGTAATATCAAAACCTAGTTGGAGCTGGGCAGGTGGCTCCATGGTAGAGCGCTCGCCTTGCATGCATGAAGCCCCGGGTTCGAGTCCTCAGCACCACGTGCACAGAAGAAGCAGGAAGTGGAACTGTGGCTCAAGTGGTAGAGCGCCAGCCTTGAGCCAAGCAGCCCCAGGGACGAACCGCGCCCACGGCGCCAGGACTTTAAAGCTTTAACTCAAAACCAGTTGTAAATACAACCGTGCCCCAAGGCCCTTGGCCATGAGTCTGAGCGAGAAACCCCGGCCTAAGAGCCAGCGCAGCCTGCCAACTCCAGGCCCTGGGCGTCGCTCGGGCCCCGCAGCGCGCACAGCAGTGTCGGGCTGCGTGGTTTCAGCGGAGCTGGCGCGCGATCCACACAGCTGCGGCTGCACACCGCTGCTCCTGCCGGGTCCAACGAGGTGAGCAGGTGTGAATTTTAGTTTTTAAATTCTTTATTGTTAGATCCATTTATTATCGGATCCAAAACGTTACTACCTATGAACTGAAGATGTGTGTGTGCGTGTGCGAGACCATGTGTGCATGCATGCTCGTTAAAGGGCTTGAACTCACAACCTGAGCACTAGCCCTTAGCCTGGTGCTCTACCACTTGAGCCACTCGAACGCCACTATCCAGCCTTTTGCTGGTTAATAGATGAGGAGTCTCCAGGACTTTTCTACCCAGGCTGGCTTTGCACCACGATCCTCAGATCTCAGCCTCCTGGGAGAGTCAGCGGGGATGGCAGGCGTGAGCCACCGTGCTTGGCCTTGGATAGTGTAAGATTCTGTTTTTCCTGTGAGCTGGTGCACGGGACCCAGTGTCGTTGGAGGCTGGGGGGGGGGGGGGGGAGGAAGTCAGACGTGGGAAGCGGTTCGAGGCCGACCTACCTCCACCATCATCCAGCCCTTGACCGGCTTGCAGAGCGGGGGCAGCTGCAGGATGTCCAGGTAGAACACGCCGCCCAGAGGCGTGAACTGGCACAGATTCACGTCCAAGATGTCCTTCATTTCTGGCATTTCAGAGTCGTTCTTCACCAGGAGCTTCTGGGCTGAAGGCAAGCACGTCCACACAGGGTTGGAACAGACCGTGATGTGTGGGTGGGCACACGCATGCATGCACGCACGGGTCGTTATTGGGGCTTGAGCTCAGGGCCGGGGTGCTCAGGGCCGGGGTGCTCAGGGCTGGGGTGCTCAGGGCCGGGGTGCTGTGCCTTCGCCCCTTCCTTCCGAGCTGGTGTTCTACCATAGTTGCATTTCCGGCTTTTTGCCAGGTAAAAGGAGTTAAGAGTGCCGGAGCATTTCCTGTCCAGGCTCCCTTGGAAGTCCCGATCCTCAGATCTCAGCTGCTTGAGCCACTGTACCCAGCAATGTCTTTGCATTGGGGGCAGTGAATGAAAAAATTCTGCTCCTAGAAAAGGGAGCTTGTACTGAACCCCCTGCCAAACATGAGCTCACACAGACCTAGCGTCCACGGGAGCGGGTGATCTAGACAGAGGATTTGCTAACTCTTCAGGAATAATGGCGTAAGTGTGTGTTACTATGAAAATAATGTGAGCAACACGGAGCCCTGCATGAACTGGCCTGTTGTCCTTGTGCAAGGATCATCCCAACGGAAGTGTGAGGCAAGACCTGACTGCGTTTATAAAACAGCGTAACACACGTGATCAGTAGCAAATTCCTTAAAACTGGACAGCATAGGGCGAAGAATTCAAAAGGCAAAAAAATAAACATTAAAACGTAAATGTTGGTTCACATATGAAATTACAGGTTTGTTTGTTTTTTCAATAAAATAAGGCCAGTACTGGGTACTGGTGGCTTAGGCCTTTAATCCCAGCTACTCAGGAGGCTGAGATCTGAGGACTGCAGTTCAAAGCCAGCCTGGGTAGGAAAGACTCCTCCCTCCAGTTAATCTCCCAAAAACAGCCACAAGTGGAGCCGTGGTTCAAGGGGCGTTGAATGGAAAAGCGCAGGGGCGCAGCCAGGACTTGAGTTCAAGCCCCGGGGCTGGCAGGTTTGAAGCACTGCGCCTGCCAGATTCGGGACGTGAACAGGTGTGAATTTTAGTTTTTCAACTCCTCATTGTTAGATCCATTTCTTATCAGACCCAAAACATTACTACCTATAAATTGAAGATGTTTGTGTGTGTGCGTGCGTGTGCGTGCACGCACTTTAAAGGGCTTGAACTCACAACCTGAGCACTAGTCCTTAGCTTTTTGGCTCAAGGCTGGTGCTCTACCACTTGAGCCACAGCTCCACTTCCAGCCTTTTGCTGGTTAATAGGAGATGAAGAGCCACGGTCCCCAGATCTCAGCCTCCTGGGGGAGTTAGCTAGGATTACAGGTGTGAGCCACTGTGCTTGGCCTTGAAGATAGTGTAAAATTCTGCTTTTCCTGTGAGCTTGTGCAACAGGACCAAACATCGCTGGAGGCTGAGGCTGAACGTGGGAAAGGGGTTCGAGGGTTGACCTACCTCTACCATCATCCAGCCCTCGGCCGGCTTTCAGAGTCAAATCCTTTTTTCTGACATATGTTAAACTGTTGTCACTATTAATATTTGTGTGTGTGTGTGCTAGGGCTTGATCTCAGAGCCTGGGCACTGTCCTTTAATTGTTTTTCATTCAAGACTGGCACTGTGCCAATTGAGCCACGCTTCCCCTTCCAGCATTTTGCTGGTTAATTAGAAATGACAGTCTCATGGACCTTCCTACCCGGGCTGGCCTCGAACGCAAATCCTCAGATCTCAGCCTCCTGAGTAGCTAGGATGACAGGCGGGAGCCAGCAGCGCCGGGCCCTGCATTATTCTGTGTGTGTGTGTGTGTGAAGAAAACTTGGACACGGCTGCCCTCTGACCGGCGCGTTCAGAATACCTTCTAATATTTTGTCACTTAGTAATTTCCTCCTCAGTGCATTCTTCATGGCTTCTAGGTCTTCAGCGATGGACATCTGCAAAAGAGAAAAACAAAAACACAAAGATGGGGGTGGTGATCAACAGGGTGCACTGGCCCAAAAGCAGCCCTCCGCTGTTCCCGCCGATGTCTGCCATCCTAACTCTAGGGCCCACACTGCTCTGGAAGAAACCTGGATATCAACAGAGTGTGTGTGTGTGTGTGTGTGTCTGTGCATACGCTGGTCCTAGGGCTTGAACACAGGGTAAGGCCCCTGAGCTTTTTTCATTCCAGCTGGTGCTCTACCACCTGAACCGCAGCTCCACTTCCAGTTTTTCGGTGATTCATGGGGGACAAGAGTCTCACAGACTATTCCGCGCAGGCTGGCTTTGAACCACGATCCTCAGATCTCAGGACCTGGCTAGAGGTTTCGTGTGTGTGCTGGATCTGGGGCTTGAATTTGGGACCTGGGTGCGGTCCCTGAGCTTTTACAATCAGGGCCGGGGAGCTACCAATTGAGCCCCACTTCTGTTCCCCTGGCTTCAAATATGAAAAAAAAGAAAAGTCATACCACACTAGAAGCTTTTGTTGGCGAGCTACAGATGCACTGCTGTTTTATGACTATTTGTTATTTCTGCCATTTGAAGTGGATAAACACATAAGCTGTATTATGAACAGACAAATAAGTGAAACTCAAATATAGCCTCTAAACTAGAGGCTTCAAAATCTACAAGAACGCATTTTCAGAGCAACAGCTTTGTAGCTTTGAGACAGCTGGCTAAACTTTGTAATAAAATATACTTAGAGCCCAATGCTGGGGGCTCGTGTCTATAAGTTTAGCTACTCGGGAGGCGGAGAGCTGAGGATCAAGGTTCAAAGCCAGCCCCAGACAGGAAAGTCTGTGAGACTCTTAACCTTCAGGGAACCACCAAAAAGCAGGAAGTGGCGCTGTGGCTCAAGTGGTAGGGCACCAGCCTTGAGCAAAAAAAGCTCAGGGGCAGCGCCAGGGCCTGGAGTTCAAGCCTCAGCATTGGCACGTGCTATGTGCACACCCACACACACACACACACACACACACACACAATCAATCTCGGGTCTTTTCTTATTTTGGATTTGAAAGCCATGGTTCTCAAGCAGCACTCAGAGGCTCTGCAGACTTTGCTCCGTGCTGGTACCGCCTGTGCGTGCTCAGCAGGGGATGTGTCTTCCTGCGCTCTGAGGTCCGGATTCACTCTGCCTGTTGGACGGTGCCACCCCCGTGTTCCCGGTGGGCCAGTGTGGCTGTCGCTGCCCCTGGCTTCTCCGACTTCCGTGCCGCTCGGCGGGATGGGGTTCGTGTGATGGCCCGGGCGCAGCTCACAGGGTGACGGCCGGCTTTGTCTCCGTCATGGCCGCTTCGCGCGCTGCACCCCACATTCAAGGCATATTCTGTGCCCGGTGCGGGGGCACCGTCCACATCCCTTCTCTACCCGGTAGCTAGAGTCGCGTTCCAGAGCCTTGCCTACTTTCATGGGAGCCTTTATTAACGTTTACTCTTTATTTACTTATTATTGTTGTTGTTTTTCTTCACCGGTCACGGGGTTTGAACTCTGGGCCTGGGCGCTGTTCCTGAGCTCTTCAGCATAAGGTGAGCACTCTATCACTTGAGCCACAGCTCCTTGGTGGTTCATTGGAGGTAAGAGTCTCCTGGACTTTCCTACCTGGGCTGGCTTTGAACTGCGATCCTCAAACCTCAGCCTCCTGAGTAGCTGGGATGACAGGCGTGAGCCACCGGTGCCCAGTAGTTATTTTTATTATTATTTCGTTGGTCATGGGGCTTGAACTTGGAGCCTGGGCACTGTCTCTGAGCTCTTTTTGCTCAAGGCTAGCATTCTACTAGTTTGAGCCACAGCTCCACTTCTGTTTTTTTCTGGTGCTTAGACGTAAGAGTCTCACAGACTTTCCTGCCTGGGCTGGCTTCAAACTGGGATCCTCGGATCTCAGCCTCCTGAGTAGCTGGGATTATAGGTGTGAGCCACCAGTGCCGGCTCTTATCTTTAAGTAGTAGTACAAAGGGGTTTCCATTCCCGAAGTCAAATTATGAGAACAAGGCATTTTGATCCATGTCCCCCTCCATCCTTCTCCCCCATCTCTCCCCACTCCCAGATACTCGGGAGTCTGAGATCCGAGGGCCATGGTTCAAAGCCAGCACAGGCAAATCCGAGAGACTCTTATCTCCAATGAACCACTCCAAGCAGAGCTGAGGCTCCGGGGGTAGAGCACCAGCCTTGGGTGAAAAGCTAAGGGACAGTGGCCAGGTCTCATACTCGCCCAAGTACTGGCCACACACACACACACACACACACACACACACACACACACACACACACACACGCGCGTCATCACCAGATGAATCTTCTTTAATCCTCTTTAGTGTCATCTGTTGCTACCCGGTTACTTTCCGTTTGAATTTATCTGGGTTTCTCCTGAACCGTGTGTACTGGCCGGGGTGGAGCCGATCACCCTGCAGCATTGTCTGCGAGGCCCAGAGCAGAATGGAGTCTAACGCCAGCTGAACATGACAGGATTTCGTGGATTTTCACTTCTCCACAACGACCACAAGAAGGCCGTAAATCTCCAAGTCTACTTCCTTAGCCCCTGTCCAGAGCCGCTTCCTCTCCTGCTGATCTAAATACCTCCAAGAGACGACGGCAAGAAGATTCAGCCAAAAGCCAGGCATCTGCGGCTCCCGCCTGTCATCCCGGCTACTCAGGAGGCTGAGATCTGAGGACGGAGGTTCGAAGCCAGACTAGGCGGTAGACTCCATGAGAATCTGATCTCCAATGAACCACCAGAAAACCAGAAGTGGCGCTGTGGCTCACAGCGGTAGGATGCCGGCCTTGAGAGATGATAAGCCCGGGGACACAGCCCCAGACCCTGAGTTCAAGCCCCAGGACCGTCTAGAAATGATTCGGCTCAAAGAAATGGATCTTTTCTCTGGGTAAGTTTATCCCCCTCTTCCTCTTCCCCTCCCCTCCTCTCCCCTCTCCTCCCTCTTCTCCTCCCCACATCAGAACCTGATCTGGCCTCACACTCAATTGGCTTTCTTTCTTACAGCTGATGCTCTACTGCTCGAGCCACACCTGGAGCCCAGCTTTTTACTAGTTAGTTGCAGATGAGGTCTCCCAGACCTTTCTGATCAGAAAAGCTTATGAGACTCATCTCCAGTTAAGCTCCGAAAAAAGCTGCAAGTGGAGCCGTGGCTCAAATGGTAGAGCGCTAGCCTTGAGCACAAAAGGCTCGGGGGCAGCGCCCAGGCCCTGGGTTCCAGCCTCCTCCAGGTCTCAGCCTCCTGGGTAGCTAGGGTTCAAGTTGGGAGACTCCTGGGTCATGGGCCAAAAGAAAAAGGAAAAGAAAGAGGCAATCTTGGGGTGGGAGGCGTGGCTCGGTTGGTAGCTGCCTAGCCAATGAGTAAAAGCATCAGGCACCAAGCCTGAGTCTTGGCCTTGGACCAAAAATAAATACATAAATACATAAAGCGGGAGCCACCAGAGCTTGGCTTTTCTCCCTTAATTATCGTGGACAATATAAGTGCATAGATCAGAATTATACAGCTGTCATTCTTCTCTAGAAAACTCTAAGAACAATAACAGCAAGATCATGTTGAAGCCCTCATAGTAGATCATAAACATGTGATAAATAAAGTAGTGCACATTATATATAACCATGATAACTATAGTATATGCAGTATGGTAATGTATTAGCAGATAGTCTACATGCTATTGTTTGTTTGTTGTTTGTTTTTGCTGTTTTTGTGTCAATATTGAGTGCTTGAACTCTGGGTCTTTGTTTTTAGTTTTGCCAGGCCTGAACTCAGGGCCTGGGTGCTGTCCCTGAGCTTCTTTGGCTCAAGGCTGGCGCTCTACCATTTGAGCCACAGCGCCACTTCTGGCTTTTTGTGTATGTGGTGCTGAGGAATCGAACCCAGGGCTTCGCACGTGCCAGGTGAGCACTCTACCACTGAGCCACCTGCCCGGCCCTGCCATTACATATCATACATGACCAAATTTATAATTGCATGTGTATCTTAGCGCTACCATTTACATGAGTTCAGATATGGTTCCGTGCGCCCCCTGGTGGCCCGGGCTTTAAGAGGCTACCTGGCTCATTCTCTCATGGAGAGACTTTTGTGCTTTAACTCTTTAAATGATCTTTAGGTATTTCTACAAACGTGTCGGCTTGTGAGTATACTCCATCCTGATCCACGTCCTCCCTCTCCTCTTAAGGAGATTTTATTTGACAATTAAAGACAAGCCGACTCCAACTATGATGATGGCCGCTAAATGGTTCAAATACTGTATGTGAAAGTGGTCGTGTTTTCCGAGAGATATTGTTTGCTTTTGCTTTGGTCAGTCCTGAGGCTTGAACTCAGGACCTAAGGCTTGAACTCAGGACCTGGGCGCTGTCCCTGAGCTCTTTCACTCAAGGCTGGCACTCTACTACTTGAGCCACTGCACCACTTCTGGTTTTCTGGTGGCTCATGGGAGAGAAGAGTCTTACAGGCTTTCCTGTCCAGGTTGGCCTCCAACTGCGATCCTCAGATCTCAGCCTCCTGAGCAGCTGGGATGGCAGGCGGGAGCCAGCGGCGCTCAGCACTTGCTCCTTACCACTTGCACTTTGGCTTTGACTTGTTCTTCTGCCTGTTTCTCCTCGTCCTGAGTTAACGTGAGCTCGCTTTCCGGGTTCTCCGCCTCCTGGTCCTCCTGGACCACGTCCTGGGTGTCCAGCAAGCTTTGGCTGGGCTCCACCTCGACAGAGCCCTCCTCCTTGGGGGCGAGGGCCAGGTCCGCGGGGGTGAGGTGGTCGTAGCGCGTGTGCAGGAGGCGCAGGGCGATGTCGCTCGTGGCCAGGATCTTCGGGATTTCAAATCCTACTTGTGTCTCGGAGAAGCGGACACTTCTGTTCCTGTGGAGAATCCATGGGGAGAGGAGGCGTGAGCCCCGGGCCCAGCCGGGCGGAGTTCACACTCACGTCTCACAGTGCATCTTCCCATGGGAAACCCACCCTTCCGGGGTGTGTGTGTGTGTGTGTGTGTCCATCACGGGGCTTGAACTCAAGGCTGGTGCTCTACCACCTGAGCCACAGCCACAGCTCCATCCAGGTTTTCTGGTGGTTCATTGGAGATGAGTCTCATGGCCTTTCCTGCCTGGGCTGGCCTTGACCCGCGATCCTCAGACCTCAGCCTCCCTCCCCAGTAGTGGGGATGACACCCATGCCCAGCAGGTGGTTTGTTTTCCTGCGGCATTTGCACCAAATGGCTGATGTCATCCTTCTCCTTTGTACTTCCACAATCGTGTTCCCTTTCCCGTAGTGTCTGTGTGTCTGTCTCTCTCTCTCGTGGCAGCGCTTGAACTCAGGCTTATCACTCAGCCCTTCCCGCTGTGTGCTGGTTCAGTGGAGGTGGCAGTTCGATTATAAGCGTGTTGGGCTCTGGTGGCTCTCAGCCCCGGCTCCCGGCCTTGCCCTGGCTCCACAGTATTTACCTGCGCTAAGCGTGCACCTGTCAAGCCATCTGAGGGAGAGTCAGTGTGTGACGGAGCTCGGCCTGGCGGCCTGCAGCTCCAGCCCTCAGTGGCTGCCATCCTACCCCAAGCTCTGGCCGCTGGAAGGGTGGCCCCTGCTACCTCGGATTCTTCTTGAGGTTTGCCCACAGGTACAGGTTAATGTTCTCGTCCCGAATGACTTTTTCCATATTTCCACTGTCCATGTCGGCTAAATTACTAGCTTGCTGCAAGAGAAAGAAGATCATGTTAACCAGAACCCACAGGACTCAGGAAAAACCGGAATCGGGCAAAGCTATCTCCTCATGGAGTCCCTGCGTTAGCTCACCCATCACCTGGCGACATCAAGGTTAAATGAAAATGGCGCAGGAGGTCCGGAACAATTCTCCAACGGGACTGTGTCGCCGAGAGAGAAATGCGAGATGGGCCAAACTCCCAAAGTCAGTACTAGGGGGACACTGGTGCTTCACACCTGTAATCCCAGCTACCGAGGAGGTTGGGATCTGACGATCGTGGTTCAAAGCCAGCCTGAGCAGGAAAGTCCATGAGACTCTGATATCCAAATGAACCACCAGAAAACCAGAAGTGGAGCTGTGGCTCAAGTGGTAGAGTGCCAGTCTTGAGTTTGAAAAAGGTAGGCAACAGCACCCAGGCTCTGAGTTCAAGCCTCAATAATCACACACACACACACACACACACACACACACACACACACACATGCACACATGCTAAGTTTTGCATGCCTTTATTAATCTGCAGAATCTGAACCTAAAATGATGATGGTTATGAAGATGCAGATGATGGGACATAAGTAGAAAACAGGGACATTTTGGTGGAGGGGATTCGTGGGGGGAGGACATATTACTAGGGGGTGAAGAGTAGGATTAAAATATTTCAAGTATAAAGGTACCATTAAGGCCGGGCGCCAGCGGCTCACGCCTGCCATCCCAGCTACTCAGGAGGCTGAGATCTGAGGATCACTGTTCAAAGCCAGCCTGAGCAGGAAAGTCCATGAGACTCTGATATCCAATGAACCACCAGAAAACCGGAAGTGGCGCTGTGGCTCAAGTGGTAGAGTGCCAGCCTTGAGCTGAAGAGCTGAGGGACAGCGGCCAGGACCACAACCGACAAAAAAAGATACCATTAAAAAAAAAAAAAAACATCCTGTTTGCAATCACAAAAAAAGGAAGGGGGTGAGGGTATATAACAGAAGAGATATGCTTGTTTGAAAAGGACACTTGACACACCTATGGAATTCTACGATGAAAAGCTGAATTTAAGTGGAAAGAACGTTTTCTCGCGTAAGTGAGGATTTGTGTCAATATGGGGAAATCCGGGCTGGTGCTCTACCACCTGAGCCACACCTCCAACCTCTGGCTTCTGTTTTGCTGGTTTGCTAGCGAATAGTCTCACAGCCTTTGCCGCCCGGGCTGGCCTTGCCTGGTGATCCTCACTCTCAGCCTCCGAGTAGGCAGGGTGGCAGGTATGATCTGTGGATGATGCCTTCCTCCATAGCTCTAGCCCTCACGGCTGGGCAGCGCGCGGACCCTTTCCAGAGCCCACTGCCACGCCGGAGACTGAAAAGCACTGATTTTGTAGAGTCTTTCCTTCCGCACACCCCGAGGGCCTCTATTGTGAGCACGCGGGCTCCGCGTGTTCACAACAGCGTGATTACACACTCGGAACTTTCGCTGATTGATCGCATCGTGGGTCCCTGCATTCACTGTGTGAGATAATCAGATTATCCCAGACATCCCCAGCGAGGAGACCTCTCCCGGACCACATGCATCTCTGCAGCCACTAGCCACTTAGCACTGTGACTTAATCCAGCCGGGGCAAGACCTGAGCCCGCCACGTGGCCTAATTAGTCCTGCTCCTCCCCTCCCACACTCCTCCCCTCCTTCCCTTCCTCCCTCCCTCCTCTCTCCTTCTTCCCTCCCTCTCTCCTTCCTTCCCTGCCTTCTCCTCCCTCCCTCCCTCCTTTCCTTCCTTCCTTCCTACCGCATGATTCAGCCCAGGGTCTAAACCCCTGGCTCCTCAAGCTCTATGTTATATGTGTATGTGGTGGTGGTGGTGGTACCAGGGCTCGAACTCATGGCTTCATGCTCTTGCTTGGCGTTTTTGTTCAAGGCTAGCGTTATACCGCTAGAGCCACACCTCTACGTCCTGCATTTTTGGTGGTTAACTGGGGATAAGGGTCTCAGGGACTTTTCTGCCCAGGCTGGCTTCAAACTGTGATCTAGGCATCTGGTTATTGCTCGTCCTGTCTCTCCTCCCTCTTTCTCTCTCTCCTTCCTTCATTTTTTTTAGTGCTGGTCATGGGGCTTGAACTCAGGGCCTGAGCGCTGTCTCTGAGCTCTTTTGTTCAAGGCTGGCGTTCTACCCCTTGAGCCACAGCTCCACCCCAGCGTTTTGGTGGTTGCCTGGCGATCAGGGTCTCTGGGTCTGTGAGCGCAGGCTGGCTTTGGGGCTCAGGGTCTGATGACAGGTGTGCGCCGCTGGCGCGTGGCTAAGAGGCTTTCTTTCTGCACATGCAGAGCCGCAGTGGTGCGCTGGGGGGGGAGGGGGGGGCGCGTGCGTACCCGGAGGAGCAGCTCGGTGGCTCTGTTCAGCTTGAGCTGCAGCAGCTCCTGCAGCTGCCGCACGGACCCCGTGTACTGCGCCGTAGCTTTGCTGTCCATGTCACCCGGCGGCGTTTCCAACAGAATCAGCTTCATCTTCTCGATTAACTAGAATGCCAAAGGATCTTTCCATTAATGCCAGTCATCCCAGAAGCAGAGGCTCGGTGAACAAGGGAAGACCTGTGGCTTGGGCTGGCTTCAAACTGGGATCCTCAAATCTCAGCCTCCTGAGTAGCTGGGATGACCGGTGTCCCCTGTGCCCGCTGGCGAGGGGCTGCCCGCACCTCTGGATCCCAGCAGGCCCTGCACGCCTGGCCTCTCCTGGGGTGCGCTCTAACTCTGGGAGCCTGGGTGGCGCTGCGGACTTACATACAGGACGAGTTTGCTCTTCTCGATCACGGCCTGGAAGGTCTCGTCGGGCTCCTCTCGCCACAGGCTGATGAACGTGTTCATCTCCTGCGACTCCGACGGGTCGGGCCTCCCATCGCACGCGATGTAGTGGTTCCACTGCGGCGAGAACACAAGGGCAGGCTGGCGGACCTGACCGCGGTGCGGCCCAGCCACCTGCTGCAGGCCGGGATTCTCAACACTGTTTCTATTTTTCTTCCTCCTCTCCCAGGGTCAACAGGTTTTGATGGCTTTAACCAGGTGTGTGTGTGTGTGTGTGTGTGTGTGTGTGTGTTTGCTGTTGGTCATGAGGCTTGAACCCGGGGCCTGGGTGCTGTCCCTCAGTTCTTCAGCTCAAGGCTGGTGCTCTACCACTTAAGCCACAGCGCCACTTCCGGTTTTCTGGTGGTTTGCTGGAGACAAGAGTCTCATAGACTTTCCTGCCTGGGCTGGCTTTGAACTGTGATCCTCAGATCTCAGCCTCCTGAGTAGCTGGGATGACAGGCATGAGCCACCTGTGCCTGGCTAACCAGTAATTCTATACAAGCCAAATAATAATGAAATCAGATTTGCTTTCATCCAAATAATGTGTGTGTGTGTGTGTGTGTGTGTGTGTGTGTGTGTGTGTCTACCAGTCCATGGGGCCTAGACGCTGTCCTTGAGCTTTTTTGCCCACAGCTGGTAGCCTACCACTTGAACCACAACTCTACTTTTGGCTTTTTGCTGATTAATTAGACCTAAGGGCTTCATGGACTTTCCTGCCCATATTGGCCTCCAACCAGGATCCTCAGATCTCAGCCTCCTAAGTAGCTGGGATGACAGGCGTGAGCCACGGGTGCCTGGCTCAGAGGAAATCACCAGTAGGTGAGGATCTATGCCTTGAGGGCCAGAGTATCATGTACGGGGCGGACAGAGTCTTCTAGCTCGGAGCCCAGAGGGTGAGATGTTCTGGATCCAAGCTCTAGAGTCCTGGCCGGGCCGGGCATTGGCAGCTAGCGAACTCCCTGGCAGAATCAGCCAGGGCCACAGCCGAGCCTTTGAGTGTCGGGGCCCCTGGCTCCTCTAGTGCTTGAACGCTTGGCCATCAGGACAGGGCATATTCCCGGGACAGTTAACGTCCTGCGCGTCCAGTCCCTCCTGGCTGGCTCTTCCAGCCTTCTCCGCCTTTTGTTGCCTCTGATCCCTGCTCTATGGAACTCTCTCTTTTTGTAACTGTATCTTTTTTGTCTTCTTTGGTTCTGGGGATCGAAAGTCAAACGTAGGCAGAGAAGACAAATGGGGGGGGGGGGGAGGGGGAGGGGCACGGGAGGGTGAGCCTGAGGCTTTTTCTGGGTAACTTTGAATTTCCTGGGCTCAACGTGGTGTCAGACCTCCCTCGTGCCCACGAAGCTATCAGCTCAGGAAAGGAAGCGAATCGTCTCACCCGAGAAAGAGATCTGATTTCTTGCTTTAATTTCTCCGCTTCCAGGAAGCACTCCTCTAAGAGGTTCAGCTCTTGCAGCTCCTGGTTGCGCCTCTCGAGATCCTGTGAGGCAGAAATAGAGCCGTGGGCCTGCGCTTTCTGTTCTTCTATTTCCAGTCATGCGGCTTGAAACTCAGGGCCTGGGCGCTGTCCCTCAGATCTTTTGTTCAAGGCTGGCGCTCTACCACTTTGAGCCACAGCGCTACTTCTGGTTTTCTGGCGATTCATTGCAGGTAAGAGTCTCATGGACTTTCCTGCCAGGGCTGGCTTTGAACCGTGATGCTCAGATCTCAGCCTCCCAAGTAGCTGGGATGACAGCATGTACCACTGGTGCCCGGCCCCAAGACATAAAACTTTTATCTTCAGGGAACCACCCAAAAAGCCAGAAGTGTGGTTCAAGTGGTAGAATGCCAGCCTTGAGCAAAAAAGCTCAGGGACAGCGCCCAGGCCCTGAGTACTAGCCCCAGGATTGGTACAAAAAAAGAAAAAAGAAAAGAAAAAGCCCAGCATAAGCAGATGACACCCACGTGCCCACACAGGAAGGGATGCGTCACATGAACCAGCAAAACAATATGGCTGCTGCCACACTTGGCAGCAAGAGTTCCTGGGTAGCAACCTGAGGCCTTGAATGCAAAGTGCAGCATTGCCTATGTATAGAATATATATATATATATATACACACACACACATATGTAATGATATATATCATCATATTATATATAATCTATATGCATATATCAATCTATATGCATACAATATGTAATATAGATAACATGACACATATAATTATATTTATTATATATTATAAGTATATGCTATGTAATTATATTACTATAGTATATATATTATATAATGTTATAAATTATATACTATATTACATATATGTACATATAATTATATGATATAGTGTGACACATATATAACATACACATGTATGATATACATTTTGTGTAATCATATAGTATATAGCATATACTATATTACATATATGTACATATAATTATATATGATACAGTGTGACACATCATATATAACATGCACATGATATGTATTATATGTAATCATATAGTATATAACATATTACATTGGTGTGTTATATATCATGTATATACATATGTGTACTCGTGTGTTGTGCGTATACAATGGAACTTTACTCATACATAATGAAGAATGACACGATTTCGTTCTGAAAGCGTGTTAACTGCAGTGAGTGGGGTCCAGCGTGACGAGGCAGGCATGTTCCCTCATCTATGGAAGTCAGGTCTAATTGATGAGTGTGTGTTGACATGCTGCAGGAGCCGTGAACGGAAGCCCGGTGCACACAGGGGCGCCTCCGACGGGTAACTCACGAGGCAAGGGGGGCGAATGCGCAAGAGGGGAGGGCGGGCCAACGCAGCCGGTATTCTGAGTCACAGGTGACGTGAAGTCCGGGAACTTGAGGGGCGGACAAGAATGGAGGGGTGGCTTGATCAAGCTGCCTGGGACTTACAGACAGACAGACAGACTTGCTGGATTGAAACCATTTTGTGCAATTTTTTTTCCGGTCATGGAGGCTGATCTCTGGGCCTGGGCGCTGTCCCTCAGCTCTTCAGCTCAAGGCTGGCGCTCTACCACTTGAGCCACAGCGCCACTTCCCGCTTTTTCTGCGTATGTGGTGCTGAGGAATCGAACCCAGGGCCTCATGCATGCCAGGCAAGCACTCTACCACTGAGCCACCTGCCCAGCCCCCTGCACAACTTCTTAATGATAAGAAAAATAAATTTTAAAAAACAGAACATTCGTGCTCACGTGGTAAGCTGCCTGTCGCGTGAGCCTGAGTCCCTAACTTCAAACTCTGCCTCTCCCCCCACAAAGATCATCGCTCGTTTCTACTCACTTTTTCTTCAAGTTGATGCCATTTTTCCTCAGCGATTCGCATGCGCTCCAGCCTTTCCTGCTCTTCTTTCTCAAATCTCAATCGGGCTTCCTCTAAAGCACCAAAGCATCAAGAATGAGCTCAGGGATTAGGCTGCTGCTGGTTTAGGCTCTCAAGCTGCTGGGACAGGCCTGCCATCCCCAGCTCCCCAGGAGGCTGAGATAGGAGGATCACAGCACAAAGCCAGCCCAGGCAGGACAGTCTGTGAGACTCCAACAAATGAGATTGAAATGAGAGAATTGTACTAGAGCTTCAAGACGGTACCAGGGTGAAAACGCAGGGCTCAGGTGCTGGCCCTTAGCTTTCTCACGCTATGTGAAGAGTTTTGAAAAGAAGATGACGGGGCATGGAAATACCAGCCTACTGCCAGCTCCCCTTACAGATGCAAAGAGCACTGAAGATTCTGCACCTTCCTCTCTCAGTCGCCTCTCCTCTTCCTCCTGCTGCAGCTTCAGACGCTCGGCTTTGGTGAGTTTCTTCTTACCCGGACCCTTAACAAAGCCCACAACATATACAAAGGTTACTAACGTGCCTCCAAGTTACCTACAAAACACACATTCCTCAAACACTTCTGCTTTCGTGAAACCAACTCTTCGTGCAGACAAGATAACCTCAAAGTGTGCAGACATCGAAAGACACATCTGGAGGCAAGTAAGAGAAATCAGCTTGACTGGACATCAGTACTTCACGCCTGCCATCCCAGTCACTCAGGAGGCTGAGATGAGATCTCAGTTCAAAGGATCGCAGTTCAAAGCCAACGCACGCAGAAAAGTCCATGTGATTCTTATCTGTAATGAGCCACCATAAAGCTGGAAGTGGAGCTGTGGCTCAAGGAGTAGAGCACGAGCCTTTAACAAAAAAGTTCAAAGTCAGCACCCAGGCCCTGAGTTCAAGCCACTGGACTGGCAGAGAGACAGGCAGAGACAGACAGACAGACAGATCAGCTTGTAAATTACTCAAAAGCAGAGAATGACATATATACACAATTTAGGTAAGCTGCTCATTTCTAGTTTCTCTAGCTTTAAAATAATAGCATAGAGAAGCTAATCCCATTGATGAAAGAAAGTAATACGTATGTACATACAGCTCAGAAATTGTCTGTAAACATGAAAGGGATTTTTATGACTCAAATGTACCTGAAGAACAACTGTACCAGTTCGGTAAATTGCTATTTAATAGCAGAGATCAAGTACAATGTTTATATAGCAATTGGCAATAAAATCTGTGCTAGCCGGGTGCTGGTAGCTCACACCTGTAACCCCAGCAGTTAAAAACTGTAAGTGGAACTGTGGCTTACGTGGTAGAAATCAGGTGTGAGCAAAAGTCAAGCAAGAGCTCGAAGCCCCAGGACTGGCACCATAGAAACAAAAACATTACCGAAACAAAACAAGACACGAGGCTGGCAATGTGGCTCAGTGGTAGAGTGCTTGTCTAGCATGCATGAAGCCCTGGGTTCGATTCCTCAGTTAACTACACACACAGAAGAAGTCAGTGCTGTGGCTCAAGTGGTACAGTGCTAGCCTTGAGCAAAAGAAGCCCAGGGACAGTGCCCAGGCCCTGATTTCAAGCCCCAGGACTGGGAAGGAAAGAAGGAAAGAAGGGAGAGAGGGAGGGAGGGAGGGAGGGTGAGGAAGGGAAGGGGAGGAAGGAAGGGATCTATTACCTCCATATAACCTACTCATGTCCTTTCATACAGCTAAATATTCTCTAGATCACTTACAATACGTAATGTAAATGTTGTGTAAATACTGTCATCCTATTGTTTAGGGAATAATGGTCAGAATAAACTTTATACTTTTTTTTTTTGTCGGTCGTGGGGTTTGAACTCAGGGCCTGGGCGCTGTCCCTCAGCTCTTCAGCTCAAGGCTGGCGCTCTACCCCTTGAGCCACAGCGCCACTTCTGGTTTTCTGGTGGTTCACTGGAGATCAGAGTCTCAAGGCCTTTCCTGCCCAGGCTGGCTTTGAACCGGCCGTTCAGTTTTCTGCCAAGCAGAAAGCACCCTGCCTCTGCTTGGATCTGCGGCTGTGCGGGTCCGAGGCTGCCTCTGCTTGGATCTACGGCTGTGCGGGTCCGAGGCTGCCCCTCCTGGATCTACGGCTGTGCGGGCCCGAGGCTGCCCCTCCTGGATCTGCGGCTGTGCGGGTCCGAGGCTGCCCCTCCTGGATCTGCGGCTGTGCGGGTCCGAGGCTGCCCCTCCTGGATCTGCGGCTGTGCGGGTCCGAGGCTGCCCCTCCTGGATCTGCGGCTGTGCGGGTCCGAGGCTGCCCCTCCTGGATCTGCGGCTGTGCAGGTCCGAGGCTGCCCCTCCTGGACTCGTCGAGGCACCACAAGCCCCGCTGGCCTAGCAACCTGGCTGCCCTGAGTGCCTCCAAGGACAAGGCGGCTGGGACGCCGTCCTCAGGCACTGCAGAGGGGCAGGGGTAGACAGGACACACCGTGGCCGGCGTATGCACTCCAGACAGGTGACAGCCAACACCACAGCCTGTCCGTCTCCCGCTACCTCTCCTTGTGCTTCCTCGAGGCAGCTCCCGCCACGGCTGCAGACGCTTTGCTGTCCCAGGCTGGGGTCCCGCAGGACCGCGTGCATTACCACGTCTGGTCCCCCTGGCCCGAAGGACTGCGACCTCTCTAACTGTTAGTCCTACAAAACTTAAACCAGCCTCTCCTCTGCCCCAACCACGCCACAGGCTAGCCATGCTGACTCCTGTGAGTGGGAAGAGCCCCCGCGGGACCCCTGGCGGATGCTGATGCCATACGTTAGAAATCAATAGATGATACACTCAACAATGTCGGAAAACGACACTCCTGCCCAGCTTCAGAATAGAACCAAGAAGGGGCAAGCGTACTTGTGCCCACTACGAATGCATTTTATAGGCAAGGGGCCACGTCGCCCTACACAGGGGCTGTTTGCTTGTTCTTGTTTCTACCTGCGCCTACAATCCGTCCTTATGGGAAAGACGAGCCTTTCCAATCCATCGATCCGATGCTCCTAGGAGGGCTCTTGGTGGGGCGAGCCCCGCGGGCTCCTGCGCCCCCTTCTCAGCAGGAAGCATCTCCAGAACAAAGCACCTTCGCCCTGCTCCCGACCTGCTTCCCTCGTACAATTAGTAAGCCAAAACGTGGGGATTGTTGGCTCAGTAGCGTCCACGCTCAGAACCTAGCAGGCTCTTTCCCTAGGCAACACTGCGCCCATTTACCCTTTACCTTGAGATGGCGCTCTTCGGGGGCAGCTACCACCATATATATAAGGCAGCAGGGTCCTCTTAGGGCAGCTGCAAGGCCCCTTCCCTAGTCCTTGGGCGGCAGCCACAAGCCGCAGCCGGCCATGACGAAGCCCCGGCCCACACATCTCCACCGGGGTCTCCACCCCTAATCATGGAGGTTACACAGGTCTCCTCAGACAACAGCAGGCTCTTCTCTCTTGGGAGAAGGGGTCTTGCTGGTCCCTTTGCCGGCAGTAAACCGTTCCTTGGCTCTTTGTGACTGGATAGCTATGTGGTTTTCTGGCAAAGTAAATCTATTTGTGAAACTCCACATCACATCTCAAATTTGCAATACGCGTGTGACTGTAAAGCATGAGTCTGTTTTTTGTGTGGAGGCGGAGGGGGAGAGGGGGTCCTGGGGCTTGAACTCACTGCTTGGGCATTTTTGCTCCAGACTACAGGTGTGCCGCTTGAGCCGCAGCTCCGCTTCCAGCTGTTGGCTGCTTAATTGGAGGTAAGAGTCTCACTGGTGGACTTTCCTATCCAGGCTGGCCGAAGGGCGGCCCTACAATCTCAGCCTCCTGGGTGGCTAGGATGACAGTGGGCCGGGCCGCTGGCCACAGGCCAATTCCTCTACGAAGTCCAGTAAGGTCAATAAACTGTACTACAAGATACAAACGCGCTTTAAAAAAGAAACTGCAGAGAGAAGTGTTTTCAGAGATCTACGTCCAGAAAATAACTTCCACGTACCTTTTTCGCTTTGGGACCCTGAAAATTGGAAAACAAGAAGAAAAGATTACTTTGTTGTTTGTAAATTCATCAAGTACCAAGATGCTCTAAGGTGTCAGGAGACAGGGAAGAGGCCATTCTTCCCTAAATCTGAACTTGAAGTCACACCCAATACTTCCTTCTTATAGATCACCCGTCAGGGAGGGACCCTTACACAGCTCACGGATGCCAATGACTGATTGATCCATCAACTGATTATGGTGTTCCTGCTAACTCTGCAGGCACAGGCCTGGTCCAGTCTTTTCTGATATTCAAACCTGATTGATGATTGATTGATTGATTGATCATGGTGTCCGGCTGGCTCTGCAGGCACAGACCTGGTCAGTCTTTTCTGATATACCAACCTATCTGGTTGATCAATTGATTATGGTGTTCCTGCTAACTGCAGGCACAGGCCTGATCTGGTCTTTTCTAATATTCGAACCTGATTGATTATGGTGTCTGGCTGGCTCTGCAGGCATAGGCCTGGTTCGGTCTTTTCTGATACCCAAACCTGTCTGATTGATTGATGATTGATTGATGATTGATTATTGTGACTGATGATTGATTGATGATTGGTGATTGGTTGGTAATTGATTGATTGTGACTGATGGTTGATTGATTGGTGATTGGTTGGTAATTGATTGATTGGTGATGGATGATTATTGATTGGTGATTGATTGGTGATTATTAATTGGTGATTGATTATTGATTGGTGATTGATGGATGATTGATCATGGTGTCTGGCTGGCTCTGCAGGCATAGGCCTGGTCCGTCTTTTCTGATACCTGAACCTGTCTGATTGATTGATGATTGATGATTGATTGTTGATTGTGACTGATGATTGATTGATTGGTGATTGGTTGGTAATTGATTAATTGTGACTGATGATTGATTGATTGGTGATTGGTTGGTAATTGATTGGTGGTTGATTGGTGATCGATGATGACTGATTGGCGATTGGTGATTGATTGGCGATTGGTGATTGATGGGTGACTGCTCGTGGCGATCCGCGCTTGCCTGCCCCGCGCACGGCCCCCGTGGTCAGGGGATCCTCCTCTACAGCCGGCTGGGTCTGTCTGGCCGCGGCCGGAAGCGGCGGGAACCGGAGCCTCGCGAGAGCTCGGGCGGGGCCGTGCGCGGGCTCCCGGCGGGGTGGCGGGGTGGCGGGGCGCGGGCCCAAGGTCGGGGGAGCCCCCGCGCCCCCCGACACGGGGCTCCTGACTCCGCGTCGGCCGCTGTCGGCGGTCACCCCGTCACCGCGTCACCCCGTCACCCCCGGTCACCCCGTCACCGTCACCCCGCCACCGTCACCCCGTCACCCCCAGTCAGCCTCCGGTCACCCCGCCACCCCGCCACCCCGTCACCCCCGGTCACCCCCGGTCACCCCCGGTCACCCCGTCACCCCCGGTCACCCCCGGTCACCCCCGGTCACCCCGCCACCCCCGGTCACCCCGTCACCCCCGGTCACCCCCGGTCACCCCGTCACCCCCGGTCACCCCCGGTCACCCCCGTCACCCCCGGTCACCCCCGGTCACCCCCGTCACCCCCGGTCACCCCGTCACCCCGTCACCCCCGTCACCCCCGTCACCCCCGGTCACCCCGTCACCCCGTCACCCCCGCCACCCCCGGTCACCCCGTCACCCCGTCACCCCCGTCACCCCCGTCACCCCCGGTCACCCCGTCACCCCGTCACCCCCGTCACCCCCGTCACCCCCGGTCACCCCGTCACCCCGTCACCCCGTCACCCCGTCACCCCCGTCACCCCCGTCACCCCCGGTCACCCCGTCACCCCGTCACCCCCCGTCACCCCCGGTCACCCCCCGTCACCCCCGGTCACCCCCGTCACCCCCGGTCATCCCGTCACCCCCGGTCACCCCGCCACCCCCGGTCACCCCGTCACCCCCGTCACCCCCGGTCACCCCGCCACCCCCGTCACCCCCGTCACCCCCGTCACCCCCGTCACCCCCGTCACCCCCGGTCACCCCGCCACCCCCGTCACCCCCGTCACCCCGTCACCCCCGTCACCCCCGTCACCCCCGTCACCCCCGGTCACCCCGTCACCCCCGTCACCCCCGGTCACCCCGCCACCCCCGTCACCCCCGGTCACCCCGTCACCCCGTCACCCCCGTCACCCCCGTCACCCCCGGTCACCCCGTCACCCCGTCACCCCCGTCACCCCCGTCACCCCCGGTCATCCCGTCACCCCGTCACCCCCGTCACCCCCGTCACCCCCGGTCACCCCGTCACCCCGTCACCCCCGTCACCCCCGTCACCCCCGGTCATCCCGTCACCCCCGGTCACCCCCGTCACCCCCGTCACCCCCGTCACCCCCGTCACCCCGTCACCCCGTCACCCCCCGTCACCCCCGTCACCCCCGCCACCCCCGGTCACCCCGTCACCCCCGTCACCCCCGTCACCCCGTCACCCCCGTCACCCCGTCACCCCGTCACCCCGTCACCCCGTCACACCCCGTCACCCCCGTCACCCCCGTCACCCCCGTCACCCCCCGTCACCCCCGTCACCCCCGTCACCCCCCGTCACCCCCGGTCACCCCCGTCACCCCCGTCACCCCCGTCACCCCGTCACCCCCGTCACCCCCGTCACCCCCGTCACCCCCGTCACCCCCGTCACCCCCGTCACCCCCGTCACCCCCCGTCACCCCCGTCACCCCCGTCACCCCCCGTCACCCCCCGTCACCCCCGTCACCCCCGTCACCCCCGTCACCCCCGGTCACCCCCGTCACCCCCGTCACCCCCGTCACCCCGTCACCCCCGTCACCCCCCGTCACCCCCGTCACCCCCGTCACCCCCCGTCACCCCCGTCACCCCCGTCACCCCGTCACCCCGTCACCCCGTCACACCCCGTCACCCCGTCACCCCCGTCACCCCCGTCACCCCCCGTCACCCCCGTCACCCCCGTCACCCCCCGTCACCCCCGTCACCCCCGTCACCCCCGTCACCCCCGTCACCCCCGTCACCCCGTCACCCCGTCACCCCGTCACACCCCGTCACCCCCGTCACCCCCGTCACCCCCGTCACCCCGTCACCCCCGTCACCCCCGGTCACCCCGTCACCCCCGTCACCCCGTCACCCCCGTCACCCCGTCACCCCGTCACCCCCGTCACCCCCGTCACCCCCGGTCGGCCCCCGTCACCCCGTCACCCCCGTCACCCCCGTCACCCCGTCACCCCCGTCACCCCCGGTCACCCCGTCACCCCCGTCACCCCCGTCACCCCCGTCACCCCGTCACCCCGTCACCCCCGTCACCCCCGTCACCCCGTCACCCCCGTCACCCCCGTCACCCCGTCACCCCGTCACCCCCGTCACCCCGTCACCCCCGGTCGGCCCCCGTCACCCCCGTCACCCCCCGTCACCCCCGGTCACCCCGTCACCCCCGGTCACCCCCGTCACCCCCGTCACCCCCGTCACCCCCGTCACCCCCGGTCACCCCGTCACCCCCGGTCACCCCCGTCACCCCCGGTCGGCCCCCGTCACCCCCGGTCACCCCCGTCACCCCCGGTCGGCCCCGTCACCCCGTCACCCCCGTCACCCCGTCACCCCCGGTCACCCCGTCACCCCGTCACCCCCGTCACCCCCGTCACCCCCGTCACCCCGTCACCCCCGTCACCCCCGTCACCCCCGTCACCCCCGGTCACCCCCGTCACCCCCGGTCGGCCCCCGTCACCCCGTCACCCCCGGTCGCCCCGTCACCCCCCGTCACCCCGTCACCCCCGTCACCCCCGGTCGCCCCGTCACCCCCGGTCGCCCCGTCACCCCCGGTCGCCCCGTCACCCCCGGTCGGCCCCGTCACCCCCGTCACCCCCGGTCGCCCCGTCACCCCCGTCACCCCCGGTCGGCCCCCGTCACCCCCGGTCGCCCCGTCACCCCCGGTCGCCCCGTCACCCCCGGTCGGCCCCGTCACCCCCGGCCGCCCCCGGTCGCCCCCGGTCGGCCCCCGTCACCCCCGGCCGCCCCCGGTCGCCCCCGGTCGGCCCCCGTCACCCCCGGCCGCCCTCCCGGCTCACGCACCATGGCGAGGCGACGGCGCCCGGCCCTCCGCGCCGCTCCGCGCCACCAACGCTCCCGGGTTGTCAGGACAACAGGCCCCGCCTCCCCCGCGCAGCCGCATGGGGCTCTTCCGGTCGCTGACTCCGCCCACAGACCCCAGTTGTCCGGACGACAGGCCCCACCCACCCACAAGGAAGAACCAAGGAGAGACACTCACGTTGGAGCACTTCCGGTCTCCGTCCCCGTGGCTCCTGACGTCTTAGGCCACGCCCACACCCGGTTGTCAAGACAACAGGCCACACCCACCCCAGACCGGACCCCGCTCGCAGGCCCGCCCCTTCAGGTCGGCGCAGTCGCGTGGGGCTTCTTCCGGCCCCGGCGGGGACTGTCGGGCCGCGCCTCCGCTTTCACGGCTCGCGGCCGGCCGGAAAGCGCTCGTCGTCACGGCGGGCGCGCTTTACGGCTCTCGGCGAGGCGGAGCCGGAGCCGGAGCCGGAGCCGCGCCGGGTGAGCGTCGCGGGGTCCGCGCGGTGGGAGCGGGGCGGGGCGGGGCGGGGCGGGGCCCGCGCCTTCCAGCACCTTCCCTCGGCCCGCCGGTCTGACCGGCCGTCCCGTGACCCTGCGGGGCGCGATTCCCGGGGCGCCCTCCCCAAGGTCGCGACCTCGACCCGGCGCGGGCCGAGCAAAGGCCCTGGGGCGGGAGCCCGCGCGGGCCGACGACGCTGTGATGCATCATGCGTAGGATATGGTGACGTGTGACGCCTAACATACAACATGCGTACAGGATAGCTATGACGCCTGACATACAACATGCGTACAGGATAGCTATGACGCCTGACATACAACATGCGTACAGGATAGCTATGACACCTAACATACAACATGCGTACAGGATAGCTATGACACCTAACATACAACATGCGTACAGGATAGCTATAACACCTAACATACAACATGCGTACAGGATAGCTATGACGCCTGACATACAACATGCGTACAGGATAGCTATGACACCTAACATACAACATGCGTACAGGATAGCTATGACACCTAACATATAACATGCGTACAGGATAGATATAACACCTAACATATAACATGCGTACAGGATAGATATAACACCTAATATACAACATGCGTACAGGATAGCTATGACACCTAACATACAACATGCGTACAGGATAGCTACGACACCTAACATACAACATGCGTACAGGATAGCTATGACGCCTGACATACAACATGCGTACAGGATAGCTATGACACCTAACATACAACATGCGTACAGGATAGCTATGACACCTAACATACAACATGCGTACAGGATAGCTATGACACCTAACATACAACATGCGTACAGGATAGATATGACACCTGACATACAACATGCGTACAGGATAGCTATAACACCTAACATACAACATGCGTACAGGATAGCTATAACACCTAACATATAACATGCGTACAGGATAGCTATGACACCTAACATACAACATGCGTACAGGATAGATATGACACCTGACATACAACATGCGTACAGGATAGATATAACACCTAACATACAACATGCGTACAGGATAGCTATGACGCCTGACATACAACATGCGTACAGGATAGCTATGACACCTAACATACAACATGCGTACAGGATAGCTATGACGCCTAACATACAACATGCGTACAGGATAGCTATGACGCCTGACATACAACATGCGTACAGGATAGATATAACACCTAACATACAACATGCGTACAGGATAGCTATGACGCCTGACATACAACATGCGTACAGGATAGCTATGACACCTAACATATAACATGCGTACAGGATAGCTATGACGCCTAACATACAACATGCGTACAGGATAGCTATGACACCTAATATATAACACCTAACATATAACATGCGTACAGGATAGCTATAACACCTAACATACAACATGCGTACAGGATAGCTATGACACCTAACATATAACACCTAACATACAACATGCGTACAGGATAGCTATGACACCTAACATACAACATGCGTACAGGATAGCTATGACACCTAACATACAACATGCGTACAGGATAGCTATGACACCTAACATACAACATGCGTACAGGATAGCTATAACACCTAACATACAACATGCGTACAGGATAGCTATAACACCTAACATACAACATGCGTACAGGATAGCTATAACACCTAACATATAACATGCGTACAGGATAGCTATAACACCTAACATACAACATGCGTACAGGATAGCTATAACACCTAACATACAACATGCGTACAGGATAGCTATAACACCTAACATATAACACCTAACATATAACATGCGTACAGGATAGCTATAACGCCTAACATACAACATGCGTACAGGATAGCTATGACACCTAACATACAACATGCGTACAGGATAGCTATGACACCTAACATACAACATGCGTACAGGATAGCTATAACACCTAACATACAACATGTGTACAGGATAGCTATAACACCTAACATATAACATGCGTACAGGATAGCTATAACACCTAACATACAACATGCGTACAGGATAGCTATAACGCCTAACATACAACATGCGTACAGGATAGCTATGACACCTAACATATAACATGCGTACAGGATAGCTATGACACCTAACATACAACATGCGTACAGGATAGCTATGACACCTAACATACAACATGCGTACAGGATAGCTATGACACCTAACATACAACATGCGTACAGGATAGCTATGACACCTAACATACAACATGCGTACAGGATAGATATAACACCTAATATACAACATGCGTACAGGATAACACCTAACATAACATGCGTACAGGATAGCTATAACACCTAACATATAACATGTGTACAGGATAGATATAACACCTAATATACAACATGCGTACAGGATAGCTATAACACCTAACATACAACATGCGTACAGGATAGCTATAACACCTAACATACAACATGCGTACAGGATAGCTATAACACCTAACATACAACATGCGTACCGGATAGCTATGACACCTAACATACAACATGTGTACAGGATAGATATAACACCTAATATACAACATGCGTACAGGATAACACCTAACATATAACATGCGTACAGGATAGCTATAACACCTAACATACAACATGCGTACAGGATAGCTATAACACCTAATATACAACATGCGTACAGGATAGCTATAACACCTAACATATAACACCTAACATATAACATGTGTACAGGATAGCTATAACACCTAACATATAACACCTAACATATAACATGTGTACAGGATAGCTATAACACCTAACATATAACACCTAACATATAACATGTGTACAGGATAGCTATAACACCTAACATATAACATGCGTACAGGATAGCTAGGACGTAGGACACCTAATATATAACATGCGTACAGGATAGCTAGGATGTGTGACACCTAACATATAACATGTGTACAGGATAGATATAACACCTAATATACAACATGCGTACAGGATAGATATAACACCTAACATATAACATGCGTACAGGATAGCTATAACACCTAACATATAACATGTGTACAGGATAGATATAACACCTAATATATAACATGCGTACAGGATAGCTAGGACGTGTGACACCTAAAATATAACATGTGTACAGGATAGATAAGATGTATGACGTATAATGTATACATCATATATGACAATATATACTATACATAATATATATAACACCTAATATATAACGTGTACAGGATAGCTAAGACGTATGACACCTAATATATAACATGTGTACAGGATAGCTATAACACCTAATATATAACATGCGTACAGGATAGCTAAGACGTAGGACACCTAATATACAACATGTGTACAGGATAGCTAGGATGTGTGACACCTAACATATAACATGTGTACAGGATAGCTAAGATATATAACACCTAATATACAACATGTGTACAGGATAGCTATAACACCTAATATATAACATGCGTACAGGATAGCTAAGACGTAGGACACCTAATATACAACGTGTACAGGATAGCTAGGATGTGTGACACCTAACATATAACATGTGTACAGGATAGCTAAGATATATAACACCTAATATACAACATGTGTACAGGATAGATATAACACCTAATATATAACATGCGTACAGGATAGCTAAGACGTAGGACACCTAATATACAACATGTGTACAGGATAGCTAGGACGTATGACGCCTAATATATAACATGTGTACAGGATAGATAAGATGTATGACGTATAATGTATACATCACATATAACGATATATACTATACATAATATATATGACACCTAACATATAACATGTGTACAGAATAGCTAGGACGTATGACACCTAACATATAACATGTGTACAGGATAGATATAACACCTAATATACAACATGTGTACAGGATAGCTAGGACATAGGACACCTAATATATAACATGTGTACAGGATAGATAAGATGTATGACACCTAATATATAACATGTATACAGGATAGGTAAGATGTATAACGTATAATGTATACATCATATATGATATATAACAATATATGCTATACATAATATGTACATAATATATATAACACCTAATATATAACATGTGTACAGGATAGCTAAGACGTATGACACCTAATATATAACATGTGTACAGGATAGATAAGACGTATGACACCTAACATATAACATGTGTACAGGATAGCTAGGATATATAACACCTAACATATAACATGTGTACAGGATAGATAAGACGTATGACGTATAATGTATACATCATATATAACGACATATACTATACATAATATATATAACACCTAATATACAAAATGTATACAGGATAGATAAGATGTATAACACCTAATATATAACATGTGTACAGGATAGCTAGGATATATAGCACCTAATATATAACGTGTACAGGATAGCTAAGACGTATGATGTATAATGTATACATCACATATGACAATATATACTATACATAATATATATAACACCTAATATATAACATGTGTACAGGATAGATAAGACGTATGACGTATAATGTATACATCACATATAACATATACTATACATAATATGTACATAATATATATAACACCTAATATATAACATGTGTACAGGATAGATAAGATGTATGACGTATAATGTATACATCACATATAACAATATATACTATACATAATATATATAACACCTAATATATAACATGTATACATGATAGATAAGATGTATAACGTATAATGTATACATCACATATGATATATAACGATATATACTATACATAATATATATAACACCTAATATATAACATGTGTACAGGATAGATATATGATATATAATGTATACATAATAGATATATAACACCTAATATATAACATACATAATAGATATGATATATAACACAATATATAATTATATAATATACACATAATAGATATATAACAATATATACATTATATATAATATACAACATAATGTATAACATATATAATATATACATAATAGATCTATATATATAACATATATACATGATAGATATATGACATATATACATAATAGGTATATAACATGGAATATATAACATATAATGTATACATAATATATAACGTGTAATATATACATAATAGATATATAACATAATGTATACATAATAGATTTATAACATGTATAGAATATACGATATATAACAATATATACACAATATATAATATATAACAATGTATAGAATATATAGTATAGAATATATAGAATATGTATAGAATATACAAGATAAAATATATAACAATATACACATATTACATATGATGTATACAATATGTAGAATATAGAATATGTACTATATATAGAATATATAGACTATACAATACATATATAATAGAATATATAACATATAATATATACATAACATTCCACATAGTGTATAGAATATGTAATATATGGAATATATAGAATTATACAATACATATATAATATATAATAATTCCAAATGCCCACAGGGAAAGCTGCCTTCTATACGCATGTTAGATTCCTAGGAACGCTGGATCATGTTCTAGCACGTGCCAGAAGGGCTGGGGCCGGCGCCCTTGGCCGCCCCAGGCTCCCCGCACAGGCCTGGAGCGTGGGGAGGCCTGTTCCCACCCCAGTGCGCGTGGCCTGTGGTCCAGGCTGACCACCACCGCAGGACCCTTCCGGCCGCACACCCTCTGGCACTGGTGTTGGGGTGCCATTCCTGGGGCTGGGTGCCGTCCCTGGGGCTGGGGCTCTGCCCCCTGAGCCTTGCTCAGACTTGTTCCATGGCATGGTTTAATACAGATGAGAATGCCACCGTTTTCTGCCTGGCTGGCTTTGACCTCAGCCTGGCTGAGTAGCTAGGATCAGAGGTGCCAGCAGCCTGGCACCCAGGGTGAGGCTCTGACAGGCGCTGGTCTGGGGAATGAACCTCAGACAGCTCCAGGCTGCTTCTCTTTGGCGATTCTCCCTTAGCTTCTACCATCATCGGAAGCTTGAGAGAGTGATCTATGCCAGATTCGGATACGAAAACACCTAGTCCTTGTCCACACTGTGTTCTGCTAAGGGGACAGTTGTCTGTCTGTCCAGGACTGGAGCGGAAGTCTTAACCCCTTCGCCCAAAGGAGGAAAAGCCCCCAGCGCAGACTCCCACAGGAGGGCAGCCTGGGCACGGGGAGGTGGCACTGGGCAGCGAGGAGGCCTGCAGGACCGAGGCCCCGGGGCTCCGGGTGGCAGCCGCCTCTCCTCTCCCTCACTCGTGTCTCCCGTGATGCTGTGCAGGGTTTAGGAAGCGGCCAGAGCCCCTTCCTGCACTCGGTGTGTTTCCTGAATTGGAAATTAAAGTCTGAGTGCCTGAAAGTCAGTTCAATGATGATGATGATGATGATGAACAACTGTCTTGATCTATATGTGTTAGCATCAGAGAACCAGACACATTTATCTTGGCCGTACTATTTCCTTCTTTCTTTCTTCCTAACTTATGAAAAGGCCAACTGAAAATTCAGCCCAGCTGAAGCCAGAGCTCACAAAAGCTTTCACACATCACACAACTGACTCCTGCAGCCGAACCCGCCAGGTGACTGACTACACCAGAGTTTGCTCTATGAAATTACACTGATGTAGAATCAGTTGCAAAACATTTGCAAGTCAGTCGCTTCAGTACACACAGAAAAAGAGACATCACTCTGCCAAAGACCTGTCTGGTGTTGGCGGTACTGGGATTCGAGCTCGTGGTGACTGCGCAGGCCCTTGACCGCGTGAGCCACACCTCCAGCCCCGCTGGCTCTGGTCATCTTGAGCTAGGGTCCCGCTCTTCACCGGAGCTGGCCTGGACTGCGGTCCTCCTGTTTTAGCTTCCTACCGTAGCCGGGAGGGTGCTTACATGTCACCATTCCCAGCTTGGGCTTCCTGAGAGTGTAAACCTCCAGATTGCAGTCTCCAGGCAACCGATGACAGGTGCATGCTGCCACCTGGCCACTCAAAGAGATGTTTTTTGTTGGCGGTGGAGGTGAAATACTGTCGTTAGGAGTTCAGTAGAAGCCAGGAAGTCTTTCGTTCAGGGAAACAAATAGGAGAGGTAATGGCAGCAGGAGAACTTTAGAAGCTGGAAAGCGAATGGCTGAGGGTGCGGGAAAGGCTCGGTCCGCATGTGAATTCTCCTAGGGCACGGGCATGGAGCACATGGGAGGCATTTGGCTCGAATTAGGCCCTACGGAGACCCCGAGAGCTACTGGAGGCTCGGGCACTCTGCTGTGGGAATTTGTAAGTGATGTCGATTTTGTCAAAATGCCTGAGAGGGGGCAAATACAAGCAATGGAGCCAGGCACTGTTGGCACACACCTGTAATCCCAGCTGATACTCAGGAGGCTGAGATCTAAGGATCACTGTTCAAAGCCAGCCCAGGCAGGAAAGTCTGTGAGACACTTAGGTCCAATTAACTAGCAAGAGGCCAGAGGTGGAGCTGTGATTCAAGTGGTAGAGCACCAGCCTTAAGCACAAAAGCTCAGGGACAGCACCTGAATTCAAGCCCCAGCACTGGCACCCGCAAGTAACGGGAGGTCTTAACTTATTCAGTTATTGTTTGGGGTTTCTTACCACAGTGGTCTTGCCGTATAGCCAGGCTGGCCTCAACTGGTTTTCCTCTGACCTCTCCTGAGTATGACAAACATGCACTCCTTGCTTGGCACCGAGTTTTAAACAGAATCTACTTGCCATGATTCACATAGAGCTGATGTAAAATCTTTTTTTGGTCTGGTCGTGGGGCCTGAACTCTGGGCCTGGGCGCTGTCCCTCAGCTCTTCAGCTCAAGGCTGGCGCTCTACCACTTGAGCCACAGCGCCACTTCCATAGAGATCAGAATCTCACGGACTTTCTTGTCCGGGCTGGCTTTGAACCACGATCCTCAGATCTCAGGTTCCTGAGTAGCTATGATGACAGGCGGGAGCCAATAGTGCCTGGCAACATGTTTTTAAAATTCATTGCTTCCTTCTTGACTTCAGTGCAAATGGCATTCGGAGGAGCTGGGCACCGTGAGCTTCTAGGGGTGGCTCTGGCGTGGTCTCTGGGGAGAAAGGGAGGCGGCCCTGGTGGAGAGAGGCGGCACCGGCTGTGGCCTCGCGGTAGCGCAGATGTCTGAGGGGCAGCAGTGACCGGGACGGCTCACTCCTGGCATCCCAGCCACTCCGGAGGCTGAGGTCTGAGGATGGCGGTTCAAAGCCAGCCCAGGGAGGAAAGTTCGTGAGACTCTGATCTCCAGTGAACCACCAGAAAACGAAGTGGAGCTGTGGGTAGAGCACAAGCCTTGAGCAAAGAAGAGCTCAGGGACAGCGCCCAGGTCCTGAGTTCAAGCCCCACGACCGACAAACATTGTTCACTGTTGGCCAGGAGTGAAAACCTGGAAGGAGGCAACCCGTGAAAATAAGGCCACCGTGTCCGGATTGACCCGGTGCCAACAGATCACAGACGTGAGTGCAGAATCGGGCTGTGTGCGTGTGCCACGAGACACATGCGCACACACGCAACCTCGGTTCACTGAGCAAGGTGATGAGTGCTTCTAGCACAGCAGCTTGCTTTCTCTCTAGGTCTTAGATGCCATGGCCCATCCACTACCATCACCAGGCTCCTTGAAGAAAGGATTTTAGGGTGGAAACCCTTCCATCGGGCAGTCGTATTAAACACGGACCGCACACGGAACCCTACAACTCTGGGGAGACCGGGGACAGCGTGCCTGGGTTCCAGGGCTGGGGAACCTTTGTTCCACCAAGAGCCCCTGGGCTCTTGTATTGAGCTTACTACCCCCCCCCCCCCCACACACACACCCCACAGAAGATTCTCAACAGCCTTAGAGACCTAAAGCAGCCGAGCAGGGCTCCCTTCTCACGGGCCTGACAGATCTGAAGGCTCGCCGTGCCTCGTGAGACGCGGGAGTACAAGCTGCTCTTTGTCTTCTGTAGCACTGAGCTTGCTCACTGAAGCAGGTGCTGAAGCAGCGCTTGGGCGGCCTGCAGCCTTTGGGCGCTGCAGTTTTGTTCTCCCGTTTTTCTCTTCACATCCAGATTCTTCCAAGTAGTTTTTACCCTTCTTCTGAAGCACCCCCTTTTCTCAAACTGTGCCTGCAATACTCCGTTTTCCCAGTATTTAAAGGAAGATGGCGATGGTTTTTACAAAAGCAATCTTCCTTTTCTCCAGGTGTGATGTGTAAAAGGGGATCCATCTCCACGTGAAGTGAAAATGGCCAATCCTTTAAGAGGAGAAGTTCTGAATCTGTATAAGAATGTAAGTAATGGCGCTGTCAGCTTTCTAGCTTGCTACTCAGTATGTTGTGTGATGTGCAGTGTTGAGAAACATAAACTCTTTCTTTTTCAAGCTGCTGTATCTTGGCCGGGACTACCCGAAAGGAGCAGACTATTTTAAAAGACGTTTGAAGAATGTTTTTCTTAAAAACAAAGACGTGAAAGATCCAGAGAAGATCAAAGAACTTATTAAGCAAGGCGAATTTGTAATGAAAGAGCTAGAAGCCTTATACTTCCTTAGGAAATACAGGGCCATGAAGCAACGCTATTACCCAGATACCAGCACTAACTGACCATGACACTATAACCTGGCTGAAAGTCAATGCAACTCTGTGTGTGTACCAGGTATTGTAAAGTACTCTACCTTAAAATGGCCACATAGACATCATTTATGTCAGGACCTGAGTTGACCTATTGGAGTACAATTAACAGAATTCAATTGTAATGACACTGTGAGCTATATCCACAAGCCTTTATGTTTGGTTTTATTACCAACATTTTATTATTACCAATATTATAAATAAAAAATTATTAAACATTATCAGGTAATATCATTAAAGAACAATTTAGTGATATTACCAATTCATGAATTGAGTACCCAATTTGGAAACAAAATACAATAGACTTAAGTTTCCTAACTTAAATGTTTTAGCCAATCATGCTTGGCCAATTTCTCCATTTTACCGTCAGAGCGCTTCCTTACGTCCCTTGGCTGGTGCACGCAAGCGCACCTTCCAGGTTCCCGACCCACCAGCAGCTCCTCAGGGTGTGTCCCGCCCAGCGCAGAGCTGTGTGAGGGAGGACCCCACAGCAGCACAGCACAGCTATTTGTAATCTGGCTGCAGGATCCTGACAAGCCATCAGGAATGTTGTAAAAGCTCCTGAGTGAGTTAGTATGACAAGGCCCACCCCTGCCTTGAAATTTAAGCAAGTACTTTAACAGTCTGAAGACCGTACAGAGAACACTTCTGATTTCAAAGCTGAATAATAAAGATCTCACTGGTATCCTTCAGTGTCTGCCTTACAAGAGTTTTGATTTTTTGCTGGTCCTGGGGCTGGAAGGTAGGGCCTGGGCGCTGTCCCTGAGCCTCTCTGTGTTCAAGGCTAGTGCTCTACCACTCGAGCCACAGCTCTACTTCTAAGCTTTTTCTGAGTAGTTTCCTGGAGGTTCTCACAGACATTCCTGCCTGGGCTGGGTTCGAACTATGACCCCTAGATCTCAGCCCCCTGAGCAGCCACGATGACAGGCCTGAGCCACCAGGGCCCGGCTCTTGTAAGATCTCCATTTCCAGTTTCCCTTAAGAAAGGGCCAGGGCTGGGGGTGTAGCTCCCAGCAAAGTGCTTGCCCAGCACACAGGGCCCTGGCCAAAGTTCCAGCACCTAGCAAGATAAAAATTAAAGACTGAATTTTAAAAAGGAAAGAAGACACTTACAAGTCACCATAACTACTTTTATTACATTACAATAATTAGGAGCAGTACAGTTCATGACAAAAATATGACGAATTTCAGATCACTTCACAGCACATACTCCTATAAACATTAAAAGTTAATTAAAGGAATGGTCGTTTTAAAATTTAATGTTTGAAATGACCGATGTTCCCAGGTCAGAGCAACCAAATGATGAAGAGACTGGGTCACACTGTGCATGTCCCACACACACACACACACACACACACACACACACACACACACACACACACACACACACACACACAGCACAATGCACAAAGTGTGCATGTATCAGCTTACACTATACAAAAATAGTCAAAATACATCCCAGGTAAACATGGTAATAACGTTAAGAAATAGTACTAGTAAGAAATTGGCACTCAAAAGGAAAAATGCAAAAGTATTTTCAACATGAAAACACAAGACAGTGGAATTGGAAACTTCCAGAGAAAGTGTAACCCAATGAGCTCCACAGGGGAGGGAGGCTTCGGAAATGAACCTGTTCTGCAGATCACTTTGTGTTCCCCAAATTCCCCACCCACAGAGGCACTTCAAGCTAGTACACAGCTCGCCATCGAGTTAGGACTATTCTTTCAGAACAGATGCCTTGTTGTTAGGAAGAAATCATTTTCATTTTTGACAGAATTTTCCAGCTACCAGCTCGTGCTACTCCGTTTCCCCATGCAGAATTCACGCTATCCAATAATAATACAGAAGCTAGTAGATAGAAATTCAATTTTGAAGTCATTGCTGGGTTTTAAAAAGATGACGACATAATGAATGACTACTCTTGTCCAATGGAAATGAGTACATATTGCCTGCCACCGAACAAGAGGGGAAAAAAATACCTCACCTAAATTGTGGGTGAGGAAAAGATGGCTGGGAGGGGAGAAAAAATTACTAGAATATAAACGAGATGAACTGGTGCAAACTCATTCAACATGCCTCACAAAGCTACACACCTTAGGACAAAATTGTGCAATGGTGGCCACGGTTGTGATAACCTATTAACAGTTAGGTTCTAAATTGCTATGCAGTGTGACTCAGTCAACAGGTATAAAGTTCCTAACCGAAAATACTCACTCAGATTACACTATGTATGCCTCTATGTCCCCGCCCACCCACGTTAATGCCTACGACTACAGAACCAGGAGTTCTTCAGTTCATCGTGGACTTGAAGGCTGTACTAATCAGGTAATGATGTGCACGACTGGGACCCCCCGCCCCTTTGAACATCTCTACTAAAACCTTTTGTTAACAGAAGGTTCACGTAAGTCAAGATGCACATCAAGATTACCACCACCTTAGAAAAACTGCCCAGCAGCATCCAAAATTCAAGAGTCTGAAATGTACATTACACACTGGACTTCCTCGGGCGCGCCCTTTTATAAAAGCAAGAGGTCACAACGCCAAGCTTCATGCCTACCTGAAGATCCTAAAGCCCTAGTGACTTACCCCAGAGACAAGCTAAACTATCAGGGGAACTTCACTCCTTTTAAAACTAGTACTCTCTATAAGGCGGCTTGACGGAAAAGCTGCGCTGGGGTCTGCCCGACACTGACAGGCCTGGGAATGGAGCTGAGTATGCCTGGCACACAGGACCATGCAGGCTGCACCACCAGCACCTCGCACAAAGGAAGAAAACAAGAACCTTCAGCCACCACGTGGCCCCCCCAACCCCCCCCAAAAGTTAAAAACTGCACTACATTCTCTTCAATCCCACGCTGCATGCCTGATGAAAATCCTCCAGATGACTCTGCTACTTAAGACCGGGAAACAGAGACAGAACAGCCCCAGGGCCTTGTGCAGTGGCTACTTTACGACAGGCATTGAATAAACACTTGTGGAACAGATTTTTTTTTTTTGAAGAAAAAACACCTTTATTCATTCAATTGTGGAAGTTCCTTTCCATGGTAAGAGTTTTGACTTGTACAATGGAATTGTATCCTTTTTAAAAATCAGGACTGAGTCTGAGATGCACATTTCAGCAACTCCTTTACTAAGTTTTCCTCTGAAAACTACTCTGAAAGTCCCTCCCATCATCAGCAACGAACGGATCAGACAGCAGAGAGGAGGCGGAAAGAGTCAAGGTTAAACTGCAACCACACACCAGGGAAGGAGTAACTTGCATCTCATTATGGTATCTGTCAGATTATTTTAGGCCGCAAGGAAGTAAGACAGAGCAACGCTGATGTACCTTTGACAACCTCGTACGCTGAGCTCCACAGCAGCAGTAGAACCGGAGGTGGGGCAATGGCACCGTCTTAAGCTACACTGAGCCACAGGTGCGTGGAAAAGCAGGCCAGGCAAGCAAAGTGACAGCTGAGAGAGGAGGAAATCCCAAGCTGGAGAAAGACTATTCAGATAAAGACGTCACCTCTTGCACAATTTTGACCAGGAGACGGACACTGAGGATGATACTCCAAGTAAGGAGCTACAGACTGTGCTGAGCCGGACAAACGAGTGAGTCTGTATGCAAACTGCGTGTAAATCGCATGGGAGGTGCCTTGGAGATGATTTGAAGTGGACAGCGGTGTGCCCAGAGTCAGACATATCTAAAATCTAAAGTCCAGTACGCTCCATTTCACCACAGCCTTTCACTGCAAAGATTCTTAAGTCATTCTTGAAAGTCACTGAAAGAACTGTTTTCATGAACCGTGACTCGTCTCATTTTTAAAGCATTAGATTTGTAAATATGGATGAAACAGTCTGAAACTGAACTTCCATCATTAAAAGAAAAACAAAATTACTGCCCTTTGTACTCTTCTCCACCTCAACTTCTAAGTTTATATTTCAAAGGTGGTGGTTTTTTTTTTTTAATTCTAGTAAGAAAAAACGAAGAAGTGAGGCTCTCGATGTTTGGTAGGACCACCAAACAATGAGAATCTCGTTAAGTTCTCCAAGAACTCCCTCTGCTGATTCTCGTTTTGATCGTGGAGGTGCAGGGGGCTGTGCTGTGAAACCTGGGTGAAGCAGAGAGCTTCGCGGGGGGCTGGTCTCACAGCCCGCGTCTCCTCGTCCCCCGCTTCTCTAGAACTGGCTCAAACCATCTTACGTATCATGACTAAAATTAAAGTGATTTTCAAAGACAGACTCACAGGCTAGACAGAGCAGTCAGACACAGAGGGACTACACTTCATTCCCATGAGAATTTTTTTAATATGTTAAAATGGTTCTGGATCACTATACACATTTAGGAGTGTGGGGTGAACGCCCTCACCAAATGGTTGCTGGGATCCCCATTTTTGTACTGAGTCTCTCTTAGCAGGAAAAGCTAAGAGAAGCCTTACAGTCATTTACCCAATGTAGAAAAACGTCAATGGTCTTCTAATATTTTTCATTGCCTTGGGTCTTTTTTTTATTTTCCCCCCATTTTTCCCCCTTTTTATAAAAAATATATCTTTGGGAGAGTGACCAGGATGAGGGCAGGAAACGTGAAGATGAGGCCCACGAAACCCATCCGTTTGTGATCCTTCCCTGTTCCAGAAAAACCAGCCTCAGTCTCAGCTGAGGCTGAAATGACCCCGGAGCCCGCTGATGTGACCTGATGAACACACGGGAGGGAAGATTCCAGAGCTTGGTGTTTCACACCCGCGCTCACCATTGTTAAGAAAATTAGGGGAAAAAATCGACTTGCATGCACCAAAACCCGAGGCATGAAATCTCAGGTGCTCAGTAATTTTTTTTCACAGGCATTGCTAGTTCATAAACCAAAACTCAGGGAAATACTGGCACTTAAGAGGAAAAAGTTTCCACTGTCATTTTCAAAGAAGCATGTAAGAGAAAAGCTAACAGTTCGCATGGGAAGGAAAAAAAATTAGGTAATGCTAAAACAAATGCTAATAATTTAGTGTAATGTACAAAAATTACCACTTTTACTTAAGTAGGCCTTAAGAAAAAAGTATAAACTGTATTTACATAATTATACACTTTGTCTTTGACTTCTTTTTCTTCTTTTTCCCATCTTTGCTCATTTTTTCTTTATGTTTTCGGATTTCTCGAACTAATGTATAGAAAGCATCGTCCACACCCTGAAATTTAAAAACAAAGGGAGATGTTGAGAATGGCGGCGGCAGAGCGTCACTGAGAAATGGTGGTTCAGTTGAACGCTTCCCTTCAGGAAGCAAAGACAATTTAATAAAACACGAACGACAGCATTCACAACAGGCAATAACAGTGACCCCAAATCATACCCAAGCTTGACAAAGGGCTTTCTCCCCAGAACACATGAATTTGGTGCGCTTCTTGGCAAGCCTCAGTCACCAACCTCCAAATGCGTTGCCCGACTTTAGATGAAAGAAGTGTCATTTCTCGTTTTGTACCTACATAAAATCCTCTGAAAGGTTTACCAAGAAATACACAGAATCCAGACAGCGTGTTCAGTTTTCACATGTTCTTCATTTCAAAACTTTTAATTAACAAAGAGGCTGAAAATGACTCCAACAAAGGGTGTTACTTTGAAACCACAAATCCCTCTCACCTAAGGAGAAATGAGCTCAGTAAGCGTCATCACCAGATGGTGCTGGAAGAGATTGATTCTCTTTGTATTATTTTAGTTTCTGTTTAGCTTAGTAGATAATGTTTTCAAAACCAGCCATGGTCTGGGCAGGTGGCTCAGTGGTAGAGTGCTTGCCTAGCACGCATGAAGCCCTGGGTTTGATTCCTCAGTACCACATACACAGAAAAAGTCAGTCCTGTGGCTCAAGAGGTAGAGCGCTAGCCTTGAGCAAAAGCAGCTCAGGACAGCGCCCAGGCCCTGCGTTCAAGCCCCAGGACTGGCAAAAAAATCCCCAAACCAGCCATTTAAATGTGGACCACCTTCAATGTCTGGCCATGGAAGCCTGCATCTATTTGTTATCAAAAATGGTATTAAGTCAGTTGTGAATAAAAATGATTCCAAGGCAGAACTTAACAGCCCATAATATGACTATGACCACTTTTAAGGGGTCACCTACAGAGAGGCTATGGTGGGGCCTTCAATACACAAGATCCCTGCCGGTCTCGTGTTAAAAAGCAAACTAGATGTTGATAAAAGCAAAACCAAAACAAAAAAGAACAACAACAAAACCCACCCTGAAAAATACCACCCTCTTATTTTAAAATCAGTCCGACCTACTGTGCGGAACTGCACAAAGAATTCTAGGCCACTAGGGGGCGACGTGGGAACAAGTACCCACCAGCACACTTCGATGATCTGATCAGGAGCTACAGGGAAGGGGAGGGAGGAGAGAGTGTAAGAGCGAACCAAACGGGGAGCCACGGGGTTGGGGATCAAAATACTTTACGCACCCGCGTGAAAATGAGCCAGTGGGGCTGGCTGAGCCGGCGCGGGAAGCAGAAGGGGGAAGGCGAGGGAGCGCGTGAGAGGGTGTCACCATCACGCCCCACAACTGATCCCAGCTGATTTCAAATAAGCTAATTATACAAACAATGAGGAGTGGGGCTGTGGCTCAAGTGGTAGAGGGTGCCAGCCCTGAGTTCAAGGCCTAGGAGCAACAAAAAACACCCAAGTGCTGGGGTTTTTTCCCAGTGGTAGCCACTGTGTTGAAAAGGGTCAGCAGCCAAGTATTATAATGTGCATTTCAACAGCCTGCGGGAGGAAGCACGTTGTGCTGACAATCACTTCAACGTTTACGTGATCTGCTCCTGACCCATAATGACTAAGGCCTTCAACATCCTACCACCTGCACGGGCCGTCCGCGAACACGGGTGGCACGGGACGGAAGGGCGGCTTCTGTCCCGAGGGGCCTCCCTGGGGTCGGGGAGGGCAGTGTGAACCTTGGGGCCACACAACGGAGGTCTAGTCACTACCTCCTCGCACGGCCTTCCACGCAGGAGGACAACAGAACTAAACCGTCCAACCCGCCGGTGCTCTGACAACCGAGACTCCTAAGCCTTAGGATGGCGTGAGCTGAACTCACTAGCTTAGATCACTGCAGGGACTGCGGATACGCCACCATTTGCTTCTGCAGACCAATGGCTTCCTTTTGCCTGACGGAGGAAGAATCACTCTCCATATGTTCACATAAAAGACAAAAACAGCGTCCCAGCGATGACTTCAGATGCACCCCCTTCAGGAGTATGAGAAGCTGATGTGTGCGCAGTTTGGAAAGGATACTGTCGTTAGCACACGTGTTCATACAAGTGTTGAGTCCGCTTAAAAAGCAAGGATTCGATAACCTGACCTTCACACAACCATTCAGGTCAGGGCAAACGTTCAAGTTTTGTGATGAATTTTCTGTCACCTACTGAACAAAGCACTCGCTGGCCTAGGCAGAACTGAATGCTGGTTAGCTTATGAAGGAAAAGTCCTACCAGGCTGGGCTCGATCAGTCTTTCCCCAGCAGCTGTTGTGTGGCAGGAGCCACACGTGGCAGGCGAGGTTCTACTGCTCGTGTAAGAATGAAACGTGATTTCAGTGCAACAGAGGAGGCCACGGTCACTCAAAATGGGACGTTGGAAAGACGCACAGAGCGCCAGGGCTGCAGATTCTGACGGGAGGCAGGAGAAGCAGGGACCGTGGCCGTGGGGGGGGGGGGGGGGGGGGGCGGGAAACGCCCTCAAGGGGAGGAGGGGTTTATGCCGGAATGCAATCAGGTCAGCCGGCAGGCGGGAGGGCGGTGTATGATTGGCTACAGGATGCTAGACTTCAGTGTAGAGCAAACCGGTGCTATTTCCTCCAAGTGTCTCTGCATGCCCAGTGGATGATAGTGGCAACCCATCAAACACAGCAGGTGGGGAGAGGGAGCGGCCCAGCAGGAAATCAGAGAGGCCTGAACAAAGGTGGGTGAGCCGTGGCAAGCCAGCAGCAGAGGGGTGAAGAGCAAGGGCAGGGGTGCTCACAGGGATGGCGCAGCAGCTGGGACCGCCACGCTGGAGGACACTGGGGGACAGTGGTTTTGTTTAGACACTGTCCAAAAGGAAAAAAAAAAACACATTCCAAGAGGGGCCTTTCCACCTGAGGGGCCATTCCATCGGCCCGCTGCACGACATTTAGTTTCTCTTCTGTAAGGAGTCAAAAGCTGGTTTCTTAATACAGGACTCTGAGTACCCCTTAAAAAAAAGAAAAAAGGCGATGCGTATCCAGCGTAGGAGTAACTATACCATCAGAGTGCAAGGCAACCGGAGGCTAGTCTGCCACGATCATCCAGTCTCAAAGATCATACTCATCACAACCACAATAAATGGCTCGATTATGGAAATAAACCCCAGGTTTCTTCCTGTAACACTTCAAATTAGAACACCACCCTTAAAAGCAGTGCGAGGTGGCTGCTACTTTGTTACTTCTGAAAGACATCTTGCTTTCTGCCCAAAGTGGTATGCTGAACTTACCAGATTACATTATTACGCATTTTTTAATTTTCACACAGCCAGGAGTCTCTTCTTCTTTGCTGAGTTTTTTCAATCTGTACTGTCGGATCTCTCTCACCAATGTATAAAAAGCATCCTCCACTCTCTGCATTGTAAAACACAACTTCTTTAAAGACCGTTTTGTGGGGAAGAGTAATTCCCTGGGGCAGCCATGAGCAAGAAGTTTGAGATTATGAGCTTCCATTGTATTTTCTTAGAAACGAGACTGAATACCATTGAGGATGCAGTTTTAAAATATGGGCTAGAACCTGGTTTGTTCTTTAGAGTCAGCTTACAAACTTCTCAAGAATTTAATTAGGCATAGGAGTATGAAAACTGTTTTCAGTACCTATTTATACAAGCATTTTCGTTTATTAGTGGTGGAATTAAAAAGCTCCAGGTTAGGTTTAAATGTTTTCTAACTCAAAACAAATTCTCTGCGGTGCTATCCTGTATCTCTTAACTCATGCGGCGCAACACAGCATAAGGCTTTTGTTAAAACCAAACACAAGTCAGGAGATCGCCCTGTCACCCGATCATTTTGGGGGGTTCATTTTGATAAGCATCATTTTATAGTTCATGTGCACAAAGCTACCGAGCTATTGTGATCCTCTGCTAAGAATATCCTATTCATATTCTAGTTATTACAAGTGAGGGAACCATACAGCCTATGTTTCTTTGGGTCTGGCTTGCTTCGCTTAATGTAATTTTTTTCCAAGGCTTTCCAGTTTTTAATTAGACTTTTTCAGTCAATTTCTACGTCTACGGGAGAGGTGACACTCGGGCTGTTAGCCAAATATTAAAATATCAGTATGTAAACAGAAAACAGAAAATGATGGATTCTTTGTATCTTTGCTGCAGCCTTAAAAATGACTTGCAGTTGAGTTGTCAGGTGCTGCTGGCTCCCGCCTGTCATCCCAGCTACTCGGGAGCCTGAGATATGAGGATCCTGGTTCAACGCCAGGCTAGTCAGGAAAGTCCGTGAGACTCCTATCTAAATTAAGCACCAGAAAGCCAGAAACAGAACTGTGGCTCAAAGGGGTAGAGTGCTAGTCTTGAGCAAAAAAAGCTCAGGGACAGTGCCCAGGCCCTGAGTTCAAGCCCCAGGACAAACCCTTCTTCTGAAAGATGGAAACACTTAAAGAAAGCTGGCATCTTTTTATTTTGAGCTTATTTTGTTCCTTTTGGATTTTAAGAATACGTTGTTCACTTTGGGAAGTGGCATATGTTGGCAAGTGTCAAAGGAAAGGTCCCTCTGAGTTAAATCTGACAAAATGAACCCAGCACTTAAAAAGCTAATAAATACCAGAAATCTGACCTGTAGTTTGAAATCCAGTTGAGCACAGAGACGCAGACACTGGTAGCAAACGCAAGAGCGGCTGCAGCCAGGGCTTATGTGTTCAGGGTCACCTGTGTGTATCTACATACTGCCTGAACGGCTGCTAAGACCTGGATTCCTTCAGGCATGTTTTTACACACGGTGCAAAAGCACTGCTCTGGTGGAATTCACCAAGTGTTACCTTTAAAGTACAATAGTAAAACCCATAAAATTAGTTGTCAGTGAAGAAGCAGGTATGAAAATATTATGTATTACAATGTATACCTCCAGCTTCTCATACACCAAATGACATATTTCTGTCCGAAAATTAGTAGCAAAATCATTACTGACCAAGAAAAAAATTTATCTTAATTCTTTTTTTTTTGGTTGGTTGTGGGGCTTGAACTCAGGATCGGAGCACAGCCCATGAGCTCTTTTGCTCAAGGCTAAAGCTCTACCACTTGGAGCCACACAGCACTTCTGGTTTTATGGTCTCAGACTTTCCTGCCCTGGCTGGCTTTGAACCTTGATCCTCAGATCCCAGCCTTCTGAGTAGCCATGATTATGGCATGAGCCCAGGGCCGGGTTTTATCTTAATTTTGATGGAACAGACTTAATCAACTAGCTGCGACCACCACAAAAATACCTGGATCTTTAAAAAAAGATCATTCAATCTAAGCTTTTAAACTTAAATCTCTACTTCTACTGAGATATATAAGCATTTTCATAGCTTTATCATTAATGTTCAAGAGAAAAGGGGTTATTTTTGTTCCTTTTTCCTTAAGGAAAGTATGTATTTGAAATTCTCTTTTGTGCTTTCTGAGATAATGTCTAACTCGGTAGTCCAGGCTGCTGTCAAAATGGTCTCAATCAATGTCTCACCCTGTTCTAGAGAGACAAACCAGGCAAAAGCTCATATTTTCGGGGATTTTCCAGGGATGTAAACCCTTATTCAGCCTTAACATGCTGAGGCCGCTGCCCGTGGTGACCATCTACGCATCGCATCGCATCGCGGGAGCAGATTCTGATTGAAGCGTACTTCTACAATCAGTTCGGGTGTGTCTGCTTTTTCAGTGAGCACCCGTCACCAGGATCGCAATGTTTGATTTTGGTCATTAGCAATGCAGAGAGAGAACCGGAAGCAAGAATCACAAAGAAGAGACCACTTCCCGCCCACCCCTGATTCGGGCCGATTAGCACCTGGAAACCTGTCCTCGTATGAAATCCAAACCAGATTTTTTTTTAATGCATTCATTTATCATCCTTTTAAAGACTTTAGTTAGTTATATTAGTCGGTAACAATTTCCAAGTCCTTCTGACATGAAAATGACAGGCCAGTCTTGTTGGTCCTGCCCTGTGCTGGCTCTTCATTTAAAATGGGACACAGCGTGGAAAACAAGAGCGTCGGGCACAGACAGATACTCCAAAATTGTAAATAATTGTTAAAAAAAAAAAAAGTGAAACATTTAGTCCCCACTGTGACAAGACGTTTAAGTTCTTGATTAGCATTCAACAGGATATAGCTTTGCAACACAAACATGTACTCTAAATGCCTAAGAAATTCTAAACAATGAAAATATGTACAAAAAAGTTATATAATTCCCGCTTGAATCAAAAGGTTTGATGATATTTTTAACACAAAACACACCACGAGAACAAGGACATAAAGGATCCCATACAGAAAGGCAATTGCTGGTGAAGAATATTCTGGATCCTTCTGTCTTGGCTTTCTTTAAGGGATTTAATTTTATCAAGTATTCCTGCCGAACTTACAAAAATCCTTGCAAGGAAGTAACGCATTATATACCCTAACTACAGAAAGCTGAGAGACTGTCAGCCTTCGTGGGTTAAGGAAATAGAGAAACACGCTGTACAGACATTCTGAAAAGTCACTCACGTGGGATCCCACCTTTCTCAGGCAACCTTGGCAAGTGCCCGACTCCACCCAGCCCTGCACCAGTGAGACAGTCACTCGCGGTACTCAGCAGGTGCTCCAACCTCGCCAGTGTGGTAACTCATAAAGTCCAGGTCAAGCTCTGAATCTCGTGTGCACAGCTAGTGCCAGAGCACCCGAGCTATCCTTTTACACAGTTTGTTAAATAACCTGTGGTAAGAGGTCCTCTGTTCACTCGTTTCGCAGATCTGAAAATGAACGGCCCAAAGCCAGGAGATCCGTGACTCACCATTTCTAAGTGAGGAAAATTATTTTTTACATTATGGCCAAAATGGGACTTCCAGAATGCAAAAGGCTTAAAGTGGGAGCTCGGGCACCAAGAACGCTGCTCTGTCAGCATCAGCTTTGCTGAGCAGTCCCTTTTTTTTTTTTTTTTTTTTTTTGGTTAGTCGTGGGGCTTGAACTCTGGGCCTGGGCCCTGTCCTTGAGCAATTCCGTTCAAGGCCAGCCCTCTATCCCTTGAGCCACAGCGTCACTTCTGGTTTTCTGGTGGTTCATTGGAGGTAAGAGTCTCACAGACTTTCCTGCCTGGGCTGGCTTTGAACTGTGATCCTCAGATCTCAGCCTCCTGAGTAGCTGGGATGACAGGCATGAGCCCCCAGCGCCCAGCTCAGTCCCTACTTCTGATTTGAGAGGACTGAACACCATACACTGCACAATGGCAAAACCTAACTCATTTCCTTTCAGATAAAGGCTGACCACATAACATGGAATACAGCTGGGCACAGTGGTGTGTGCCTGTAGACCCAGATACTGGGGTGAGGGACGGAGGAAGGATGATCATTTGAGCCCAGGAGTCTGAGATCAGCCTGGTCATAAAGAGAAAAACAGTCTGGCCTGGTAATGGGTGTTTTTAAGAAAAAATTATATATGTCATACACATATAATATAGATATACACACACATATATATAAATAAATATATATATGTAATCTACAGTTCTTCTTAAGTTATCTTTAAAAGTACTAGAAGAGAATTTGTTTATACAGCCACAGCCTATTTCGTTCTACCACATACAAGCCGACAGTGACGTTGGCATTTGTAAAGGGCCACCAAGGGGAAAAGGTCAACATTCAATAGGAATCACTTTGAGTCCTCAAGATTTATTATCTAGCCCTCTGTAAGAAAAATTTACCAAACCAAAAATTTCTATCTATGACAACTTCGGAATTAACTCTCAGTTCCCATTCATCTTAATTTTTTGGTATTTCTATCTTAGGCTCAGGAACAAGGCTAAAATCAAAGCATGTTAGAAATTGCTAGTGGACTACAGTAAGGATATGCAAATTGTCAGATGAGTAACAAAACATTCTATAAAAGGCAGGACTTCAAACTTTACAAAAAACGGACTTGTAGAATTTATTAAAACAGACATGTTAGATTACAACTTCTAAAGTTATTCTGAACAGCTCTTTCGCATCTTCCAAATAGGCAATTATCAAATTCACTTCAAGGAGGATAAATTTCCCAAAGCAAATTATTTTCAAAGCGAAATCAACAAGCCCACTTAAATCATAGAGAAATTAAAGATCTTAGTTACAGCTTAGGGACATATATTTCGTAAAAAAAAAAACATTAAGAAAACAACATAAATGCAAGATAGTGCTTTTTATGTATGATATTCTCTTCATATTAATCAGCTGACCCACAGGAAGGCTGTGAAGCAATTCAAGTGAATCATATGCCTTCAAAATGCTAAATGAAATTCTGAGAAACTCAAGGCTACAGACCACTTCAAAAGCCCCAGATGTAAGATCAATCTGATCAGTACAGTACATAAAATCACTGACACCAAGCAGGAATCCATGAGCACTTTTGGGGTAAAGTCAGCCAGCCACCTAGGAGATGCCTATGAGGGGTGTCAGGCTCGCCCAGGGGGCGTGGGGAGGTGGGGGAGGACACCAGCGGGCTCCTCGGTGTGGCCCAATCCGGTGCCTCTCTGCTCCTGGTCCCGGGGGTTCAGCTGGGGCGCCTGCTACAAGTCAGAGACTCCACTCCCCTGTGACCTTTTACGTGGAGTTGGTTCATGCACACCTTGGGAAGTGTCAACTAAAATGCTCACGAATCTAAAACCTATCTTTTAAAGTGATAAATAATATAAGCAGGAAAAAAAATGCATGGCAGAATCTAGCTAGTAGGGTTTGTAAATGTTTTCAATTCAGTTTTTGGGGGGTTTCTTTGTTTCATAAAGAAATGTAAGCAGAGAAGTTATAAATATACTCCTGTTTCCTGAGACTTTCTCTCTTGAGAAAAACCAACAAGTCGGGAAAAAAACAGTGAAAAGAAAATGAAAGAGCCAGACACCAGAAGCTCACGCCTATAATCCTAACCATTCAGGAGGCTGAGATCTGAGGATCTCGGTTCGAAGCCAGCTCAGGAAGGAAAGTCCATGAGACTATGTATAATAAACCACTCAGAAAAAGCTGGAAGTGGTGCTGTGGCTCAAGTAGTGGAGGGCTAGCCTCGAGCAGAAAGCTCAGGGACAGCACCCAGGCCTTAAATTCAAGCCCCAGGACTGTCAAAAAAATTGTTTTTAATAAAAAAGATAATGAAAACACAAAACTCTTTGCAGTCCTTGGGAACCCTAGGAAAGGACCGGGTGAAATCCTGGGTCCTCTGAGTCTAAGACATTGAGATAATGCCTACCACGCCCTCCTTGAACCTGTTCATGAGGGGTCATTAAACTGCTGTGTATGACGGTCCATGGACGAAAGCTCGGTTTTTAATCTCAAAATTTAAAAAAAGACTTCAGACAGAACTCCGTGTGTTCTTTTCATGTTTCAGAGTTTGTTTAACCAAAAAGACATACATAGGATCGGCAGGGAAGTCGGGACATTTATAGGAGCTTAACAGTTTTTCTAAAGTCCAGTTTATAAAACCCGACACACCTGTAGCTAGAATGTGCTTTTTGTATGTGTAGCAGGTGATGAGCTAACATTTTTAAAATGTAACACAAGTTACATTTTACATTTAAGGGGAACAGAAAAGCCCTACAAACCAATCAATGAAACATAAATTGGCATGTTGCTAATACCTATGTGGAAATGGCATGCCATCCCAGCTTCGCATATTCTTTCCTAGGATTTCTAGGACATTTAGAGATTAAATGATTCCATCTGTACTTTACCCAAAGAAGTCACTTTTAAAATGAAGATGAGTTTTGGAACAAAACTCAGGCTTCAATGTGACATTAATTTTTGTAGGAACAATACAGAAACTCGTTACCTGAGCATTTCTATTTGCTTTCTAAATATTCCCTTACTTTAGGGAGAAGTTTCTCCAAAAATAAATGTATCAAAAGAAAAGTTCCTCCAAAGTAAAATTCTTCAACTACAACTCGCAACAGTGCTGGTAAAATAAGAAACTCAAAATCTGTGCTGTTGTATTTAACATATCATTGAAAAAAAAAGGAATCCGCATTTCTTGAATACTGTATTTGGAAGACAGGACCAGAGGTAAATAAAAATTCTCATTGTGAAAAGAAAAGAAAATGCCCAGCACGGTGACCTTTAGAGAAGGCTCAGATGAGAGAATGAAGAGTTTAAGGCCAGCCTGGACGACATACCCAGACTCTGTTCCAAGCCATTCCTTATCCAAAAGAAGAAAGAAAACCAGGCCCAAAGTGCTGTGCACGCTAGATGAAGTTCAGCAGAAGGGAAGGGAACCCATCCATCGCATCAGGCGATTTAACAGGCAAAAAGCAGCCGACACTGTCAGTGCGTCCACTTGTGCTCCTGCCCCAAGCAGATGCCGTGACAGTGTGGACAGTTCAATTCCTCATCTCCCGACGGGCTCTGCGGACAGACAAGTTACCCGCGTTTTACTCACCTGTCTGGTCTTGGCTGAGGTCTCGATGAAAGGAATGCCGTAACTTCTTGCTAAATCCTGAGCCTGCTTCGTGTCTACTGTTCTAGAAGGCAAATCACATTTATTTCCTACTAGGACCATAGGTACATCTTCAGAGTCTTTGACTCTTTTAATTTGTTCTCTGGGGAAAAAACAAAAGTGGTAGGAGAGGCATTAGTCACAAAGCATCCTTCTGCCTTAGGACACTGAGTGCACCCTACAAACTTCCCTGGGGTTTCTCTGTTATTCTTCCCCTCTGTCTTAATCAAACACTTTTCTCTCCCTTACAGATCAAATACCTGTAGGAGTAAAACCTATCATCTAAAAAGTTTCTATGTAAATAGCAAAGATAAGAGAACATTCTGGAAAATTCTAGGCCAAAATGAGAAACCTAAGTTCTTTTTTTTTTTTAAAGAATAAACAGCATTAACCTTAGATACATATATTGATATGGTAAAAAATGCACATATGCACAAGGTATCTTCACCAAGACATAATTTAGCAGCCACGTTAACTGTCACATTTCAGTCACCTGCCGCATGGGATGGACAGACAGTCCAAAACCCCAGCGGACACCTGAAATTACAGGCAGCAGCCAACACACACCAATGGCCGTGTTTAATTTATACCTCTGGCACAGTAATACATGAATTACCAGAGCAATCCTAGCAATCTACTCTAACAAGAGGTACTGAAAACTTATGAACTATTTACTTCTGTAGTTTTTCATCTGATTTTTTCAGACTTTGCTGGAGCATACAGAACTACTCTGTTGTCTCAAAAAAAGGGAAATGGCAGCTGGAAAGACTGCTTTTTTTAGAAGGCCAACAATGAAGTAACTACACTGCATTCTGTTAAGTCTTTCTGTATTTTGCTACTTTTTGGGTACACAATGTGAATAAACTCTAAATCTGAGGCCAAATGAGTATCCTTCAGGATTTGCCATGAATTTCAAAGATAGCACTTGAGAACACAGAAGACACCAGTCAAAACTGGTGCAAATTCCCAGTTCCTTTATTTTCTGAATAGATTTGGAGACAATAAAAAATTTCAGCCATATACTAGCCTATACAAACACTACAACTACTACCCTCCATCCAGATTTCTCCAGCTGTAGACTAAACATGCTATCATAAATATTCTTAAATAAAACGCGAAGTAGGCTAGCTAACTAGTACATGGAAAATTGCTAAATGTGCAGTTTCATAGAAACTGTAAACTCCTGAAGAAAGAAGTATGTTTAATATAAGGATTATTTAGGTAGTCAGTCTTATGCAGATTCATCATTCTTAAAAAAAAGCCCACTAACTTCTTCTTTTACAACATTCAAATTATCAAGCCATTATATTTAATCCAACCCAAGAGATCCTACACTGTAGGTAGGTGAGTGTTTTTTAAGACAACTGAGTGGTAGCAACTCACGTTACCTTTCCATACTTCTGTTTATAGTCTGTATTTTTACAATGGATCTTGCACCTCTGGAAGAGCTAAGCGTTCCTGTCCCTGGAGTCCAGTGGGCCCAGGTTCCTCCCTCCCAACCCCAGCCCCGTTACTGCTCATGCAGTCTGGGACTATCAGCTTCAAGGACTTCACTTGCAAAAGGAGACCAGCGTTCACTTTTAACTCATCTGCCTTTGATGGCATAGGCATATGGTACTTCAGCAAAGAATCGATCATCGAGAGCTACAATGACTCCTTAACGCAAAGGGAAACGCACCTATAATGGTGAATGTCTTCAAATGACTTAGTATTGTTTATGGCAAAGACACACAGAAAGCCCTCCCCAGTCCTCATGTACTGGTCCCTCATGGCGCTGTACTCCTCTTGACCTGCCGTGTCGAGGATGTCCAGGAGACAGGTTTCTCCATCAATTACGACTTGTTTCCTGTAGGAGTCCTGGGAAGGGAGAAGCGCAGTCTGGGTTATTACAGTGCGCCTTTCAACGCCACTCACCACGCAACAACAGGAACGTAAACAACCCCATTCGGAGTGGGCAAGGAGCTTGAACAGGCCAGTCTCCAATACACACACACACACACACACACACACGTGGAAAATACACACACACGAACAGTTCAGCACTAACTAGGGAAATGCAAACTATGAAGCACCATCGAGCACTCATGGGGCGGCTGGTATTAAGCTAAGGAGAAACAAGACAAAAGTGTGTGTGTGTGTGTGTGTGTGGATGGTGAGTACAGCCAATGTGAGAAGGTCTGGCAGTTCCTGAAAAGTGAATTTAAGAGTTACCATGTGACCAGGCCATCCAATTTCTACGTATATAACCAGAAACAAAAGCGAGACTACCTGGCCTGGGTATGTGGCTGAGTGGTAAGAGTGTTTGCCTCGCATGCATGAGGCCCGGGGTTCAATTCTTCTGTACCACGTAAAATAAATTTTAAGAAAAAGCAGAGACCAGTGCAGACACAGCATGCCCTAGCTCCAGCAGCATCAGGTCCTAGAGCTGAAGTCTAGAAACAGCAGCAATGCCCATTAACTGAAGAGTGGACAAGCAAAGCGGAGCTCACACACACAGAGTGCGAGTCAGTCACAGGAAGGAAGGGCAACACAGACGGCACCTTGAAAACACGGCGGAGGAACGGAAGCCAGACACAGACGGACAAATTCCGCGTGGCGTCAGACATGGACGAGATCAGGCAGGTGTGGAGTAGAGGTCTCCCCAGGAGCTGCGGGCGGCGGTTTGATGGGTATGGGGCTTCACGGGGGTGAGGTGCGGGTTTTGAAAGTGACTGCGGGTACGCTGGCCACGCAGGGATGCGAGCACACTTAGCGTGCCGAGTTGTAATCTCTTACACTGCACGACTTCGCTACAAAAGTATTTATAAACGTTTATGGAGACCCACAAAGCACATGTACCGTGACAGCAACAAAAATCTACTACAAAAACCCCTGTCGGGGCTTTACCCAGGGTGACAGGGACAGCGCAGCAACCCGCAAACCGTCACACTTGCACTTTAGGGTCAAAGGAGCACAAGGGACCCTAGCGGCCTCACCTAGTTCTGAAAACCCTGACAAAACGCCACCGGACAGACACTGTGACTCCAGGTCCCCACTTCATCGGCAAACTCTGCGGCGCCACTGAGACAGAGGTCGCTAATGCACAGCTGAACGCTGAGCAAAGAGGACGGGGGCGGAACTCAGTTGTGGGCTGCATGTCTAGCCGCAGGCTCAGGGCACGGCCCACAGCCACACACTCGCACGCACGCGCACACACACGCACATGCACACACACACGCACACACACTGCATGTCTAGCCGCAGGCTCAGGGCACGGCCCACAGCCACACACACGCACGCACATATACACGCACACACACACACACACACACACACACACTGCATTTCTAGCCGCAGGCTCAGGGCACGGCCCACAGCCACACACTCGCACGCACGCGCACACACACGCACATGCACACACACACGCACACACACTGCATGTCTAGCCGCAGGCTCAGGGCACGGCCCACAGCCACGCACACGCACGCACGCGCGCACACACACACACACACTGCATGTCTAGCCGCATGCTGAGGGCACGACCCACAGCCACGCACACACGCACGCACACACGCCTGCACACGCGCACGCGCACATGCACACACCTACACACACGCACACACACTGCATGTCTAGCTGCATGCTGAGGGCACGACCCACAGCCACGCACACATGCACGCATACACGCACGCACGCGTGCACACACACACGCGCACACACACGCATACAGGCCTGCACACACACACGTGCACATGCACACACCCACACACGCGCACACACGCTGCATGTCTAGCCGCAGGCTGAGGGCACGACCCACAGCCACGCACACGCACACACCCACACGCACGCATACACACACTGCATGTCTAGCCGCATGCTCAGGGCACGACCCACAGCCACGCACACGCACGCACGCACACACGCATACACGCGCGTACACACATGTGCACACATGCACACGCCCACCCGCACGCACACACACTGCATGTCTAGCCGCATGCTCAGGGCACGACCCACAGCAACGCACAAACACACGCATACACGCGTGCGCACACGCGCGCACACATGCACACACACGCTGCATGTCTAGCTGCATGCTCAGGGCACGACCCACAGCAACACACACGCATACACACGTGCACACACACGCGCACACATGCACACACACACACACTGCATGTCTAGCCGCATGCTCAGGGCACGACCCACAGCAACACGCACGCACGCATGCGCACACACGCACGCACACACACACTGCATGTCTAGCTGCATGCTCAGGGCACGACCCACAGCAACGTACACGCACGCACGCACACACACAGAAACCACATACACACACGCACACGCGCACACACACACAGCAAAAAAATGATCAGGATTTTACATCTTAAGTTAGCCATTACTTTCAGAGTTACAAATCAACTTTTAGGTAAGATATCTCAACTAAAAGCTATCTTTTGTTCTAGTTTCCCTAGAAAATAAAAACAAAATTGAGTCACTTACACTCAATATAATAAATGCAAATAATAAAATGACTTCACATCTTCTCCTCACTCGTAACCAGAGTACCTTTTCCCCCTATCTACTCAAAGTATGACACTTCGGAATGAAATGCAATATGCTTCCAAGAGTGAACTGGAGACAGAATTAAAATATCTGTAATACAATGAACGGGCAAATACTTCCAGAAGGCCACTGCAACATTTATCTAGAGCAGTACAGATGGCCACAGCCACTGACACAGTGCCACTTAAAGGACTCTAAGGAATACTCTTTCCTTTCTTAAAGGTATTTATAATGTATTCATAATACCGTATCCTAAAGTGTCTTATAAAGAAAACCTGCACAGGCACTAGCCCCCCCCACCCCCACCCCCCCTCCCCCCCTCCTCCCCAGGAGATTAGAGCTCACCATGTTTTGCTCACTGCTGTATACCTGCAAGTAATCAGAATCTGCCAGTCCATTCCATTGTGAATACATGCAAACACTAAAAAATGCTAACTTCTCTAACAATGCTTTTATCACCACAGATACTCTATACCAGTTACGGTACTGCAGGAGAGACCCACACAATTTCTCTGAAATGTATTACTTTGCAATCTATTTTGTCTTTAGCAATCATTTAAGATATTGTAGATTTTATTGACAACGAATTTGTAATTTTTTATGCTTAGATTAATTCACTTGGTAAATTCTAATATATATGAAGAATTAACATGTTATTTACCCAGGTATTTCAAATGCAGAGAGATAACACATCAGATCTCATTTTGTGGGTAGCAGTACTAGCAAACATATATATATATTCTTTTTTTTTGGTCAGTTGTGGGGCTCGAACTCAGGCCTTGAGCATTGTCCCGGAGCCTCTTTGTGCTCAAGGCTACAGCTCTACCACTTGAGCCACAGCGCCACTTCTGGTTTTTGAGTGGTTAACTGGAGGTAAGAGTCTCAGGGGGACTTTTCTGCCCAGGCTGGCTTTGAACTGTGCTCCTCAGTTCTCAGCTTTCTGAGTCCAGGAATGAGCCACGGGTGCCCAGCAGGAAGCTGTAACTTTTTAAATTACAAAATACTAAGCTAAAAAAAAAAAAATACTAAGCTAGTATCTAGAGGTATCTTCTAAACTTTATGCAAAAGGAAGTTTTTAGTGTGACAACAGAACCAAAACCGCATAGTAAACATTAATAAGGTAGAAAGGAGAAGAGCTGGCAGAACTGCGGGCTCCTGCACTGTATTACGTTCTGCACCGTGAGCAGGGCCGCAGGGAGTGATGACCCAGCTACTGGGCGGTGTGAACCAGCGCAGACAGACCCAGGCGAAAGGAGAGATGACCCTGCCAGAGAACACGGAAGGCAAAATGGACAAGGAGCTCAGCTCAAGTGCGAGAGCCAGCGTCAGATACATACACACACGCACGTGCACAGACACACAGATGTGAAAACCGCACTGACACATACACACACACGCATGTGCACAGACACACAGACATATAAACTGCACACTGACACATACACATGTGCACACACAGACATGAAAACTGCACATTGACACATACATACACACACATGTGCACAGACACACAGACATATAAACTGCACTGACACATACACATGTGCACACACACAGACATGAAAACTGCACACTGACACATACATACACATGTGCACACACAGACATGAAAACTGCACATTGACACATACATACACACGCATGTGCACAGACACACAGACATATAAACTGCACACTGACACATACACATGTGCACACACAGACATGAAAACTGCACATGACACATACACACACATGTGCACAGACACACAGACATGAAAACTGCACACTGACACATACACACGCATGTGCACAGACACAGACATGAAAACTGCACAGACACATACATACACATGTGCACAGACACACAGACATGAAAACTGCACACTGACACATACATACACATGTGCACACACAGACATGAAAACTGCACATTGACACATACATACACACACATGTGCACAGACACATAGACATATAAACTGCACTGACACATACATACACATGTGCACACACAGACATGAAAACTGCACACTGACACATACATACACATGTGCACACACACAGACATGAAAACTGCACACTGATACATACACACACATGTGCACACACACAGACATGAAAACTGCACAAATACATACACACGCATGTGCACAGACATGAAAACTGCACACTGACAAATACACACACACGCATGTGTACACACACAGACATGAAAACTGCACATTGACACATACATACACATGTGCACACACACAGACATGAAAACTGCACAAATACACACACACACATGTGCACACACACAGACATGAAAACTGCACATTGACTAATAC